TAGTTTATATTATTAATTTTAATTTATAATACATGGCAGCCAGAGGGGCGCCCATGAGGTGCTAGCCTAGTACACTGTCCACAATTAATCCGCCTCTGTAAGCGTAAGCGCTAAAGTCCAAGATAGTCATTATATGGTGCACTCATTCGGTCTTATTACAAGTCATGGTTTATTGATGACCTCGGGTTTAAAGAGGCGTCTCCGTCTAGGAAGAAGTTCCGGGGAAATGTGCGGACTTAAATGTAAGATATGGAATTTAAAAACAAAATCAGCAAAAATGTCATATTACATGAAGACTGTGGAGCGTAACAAAGACTTCTCTAGACCTAAGACTTTTTGTTATATTGATGATTATTTTTTAACATATTCTGTATACACGTATTTATTACCTATAACACATATATAAATAATATTTTTTTAACTTTAAGGTGAAGTGTGAACAAACATCGTACTTTAGTGGGCGATAGCTGTCTCCGCAAACTTACTCTAGTTATTATTAAAAATCAGAATAACAAGTCAACAAAAATTCGATACATCCACAGAAATAACATTGTATGCAATTTATTCACAAAATATTTAAAATACATTAACCAAAGATGCAAGTAAATTGCACTTTGGTAACTTACACACTACAATCCTAGATGCCGCTACCATTTTTAGTGTAACAAATAAAACTGATAGTTCTATGGGTAAATTCCACAGACATAGAGATTGTGGACTGTGCGTTCCGTATTTAGTTGTGCAGTGAAAACAGACCGAAAAGTGCGAGAGAGACAAAGCGAATGTGCGGCCAGTAAGTAGTCTTTCTAGAATTTCGACCAATCAGGCTTACAGGAAAGAGACAGGTATTGGCCGCACAGTCGCTTTGTCTCTTTCTAGAGAATGGTCACTTATGTGAGGCTAACGCCCAGTCCATTCTCTATGTCTATGGTAAATTCAAAGGTCTTATTTAAATGCATTAGTCGCTCTTACGCGTTTTATTTTTCTCCATCTTGTTCTTATCCTTTAGCCTTTGCAAACGTTGGACGTATCTTGTATAGTGGACCGTTATGAATTCATATGGTGAATAAGTTTGTTTCCTTACGTTAATCAATATTCTACTTCTAACTCATTCTATTACATTATTTTTGAGGAATATCTTACAAGAAGTCTTTCAAACAGTTCGTATATAATTTTTACTATAGTAAAACCATTTGCAGAGTAGATTTAATATAGCTTTTACATTGAATTTTTTTTTTTAATTCCATGTCCATGGGTTGATGATATCTGACTGGCCGATTCAAATCACAATAACATCAAAATAAGGGTGACAAGCGAGCATACAGTCCGCTCTAAGTGAGTGGATGCTGTGGCTTGTAGACATCTACATTATCTTCGATTAAGAATCAAAAATGCAGATGTGTTGTCACCTCTGAGGACCAAGACGGAATGCCTCGTTTCCAGTAAAAAGGATATATGTATACTCAAGATCAATATCTTAACTAGAGGTATCTTGAGTAAGCGCAATAATAGCGACTATGAAAAGGTTTGATACTGTGCCAGATACAGGAGATTCGTAAAGACCGTAACTAAAGTATGCTAACCGTAGTAAGCCACGTGTCCACCGCGTAACCAAATTTAACAGCATTTAAGTTCAAAATGCTTTCATATATTTTTAAATTTAATAAAGGAATGCTATTAAAGCATAAATAGTTGTAAAAATTTACGATGTTCTAAAAATTATTAATATTCAATTATTTATAATACAATTAAATGAATTTTTACTTTACAATTTGATCAAAACCCTAAACTAGCTTCACTATCTTAATTTTTTATAGTGTTACCATCTAAACTATCTAAAAGACTGTTTCAACCTTGATTATTTATATACAAAACAACATGAATGATATTTTATACAATCCCGTGAAGCAACAGTAAAATTTTCAAATAAATAGTTTTATAAATTACAGACCAAATATTATATCAATTAATAAGTTATATACAAATTTAAATTAATACATTTTAAATAAAAAAATACAATGTTACTCCCGTGGATTACGAAACAAAACGCCGGCCGGTTCGTCGTCAGTAACCACTTCACACACGCGGGTCCCCTAAGTATTTGTTTTACACAAAAGGTTTTCCGACAATTTTAATACAAAATTTGTTTATATTTTACTTACTATTTTGTGTACATTATATTGTAAAAGCATTTGCTAAGAACGTTTGATTAACATGCTTGTTGTGAAGAACGAATGGAAATTAATTAAGACGCATAGTGTTTGTAATTCTTTAAGACACATAGTGTTTGTTTTAGATTTAGTAAATTCAGTACAATTTAAGATACGACGCGTCAGATACTGTATAATGGATAGTGACAAAAAATCCCAAATTAAGCAATGGCCATAGAAATTGAGTTAATTATCTTCTAAGTCAAATTAAAAGCGTTAGAACCATAAATGATACTAATATAAAAGGAGAAAACTATTTAAATCATAAACAGCATAATATATAACGTAATATATTGCAGCGAAATTAATTGAAACGACGTCAAATACATTTGTAAAAAATATTAGTATTTTTAAACAAAAACTAATGTTTTATCATTTTAAGAAACTTAAGATAATAATTAATTTCTATTTATTTTAAAATACGTAAGAAAACCACTTGTGTAAAACAATTTTAAACTGTTTCTTATACAATATAAAACACAATTTTAAACAGGTCAAGGAAATATCTCACATTAGTTTCCGAAAACATTTATATATAATATACATTTGGCGCAAACAATCAAACGCTAACATTAATTTTACAGCTATTCGTTTTTTTTAAAAATATGAACGATGTAAGTAGATATAATTGTAAAATAAAATCTATATCGATATACTTAGGTATTATAATTCAATATGTCTCCATTTTTTGGGAATGATTTAAATTGTTACTCGATAAAAATTACATTGTAATTAGTGAAACCAGGTTGTACTAAATGGACGTAGTCTATATTCGGGTGTCTGAATTGAAACAGTAGGGAAATAAAAAAAAAACTAAAGTGACAAACGAACATACAGTTCACCTGATGGTTTAGGGGCTACTACAGCCCATGGAAACCTGCAGCCGACTTTAAGAAAGCTGCAGCTGCATTGTCACTTCTGAGGACGAAGATGCAATCTTTCACAGCCTGTAATTACATTGACTCTTTGTACCTTACAGTCGGGAACAAAGCAGTGCACGCACAAATATAATATTTATTAAATATATAACAGTAAAAGAGCAAAAAACACACGCATATTGCAAATACTAGGCTAAACAAGTGACAGTAATTTTGCCCTGTTCGAGATTTGAACCTTATCATACAAAATTTAATCTAATATGAATACTTGTTTATATTACAGTTTGAATCAAAACCTTTGTCAATTTAGTACAACGTTATTGAGTTTGTACAAAAAATATACTTGCCGTTGTTGCAGAGATAAACACTTATTTATTGCAAGAATATGTGTAGATTTAGAGAAAATGCACTTTCTTACATAAGGCATACATACATTAATATAAAATTTCCTTAAAATAAAATTTAAATGCGCTATATTTCGTGTGACACATCTCATCACTATACTCACTCGAATGAGATTTTGTTATCCGTCTTATTACATAAAGTTGTTTATAATTAGTCTCAGATTTAAAATAGTTTAGCCGTTCGGTGTGGAAGCGCAGCGTTCTAGGCACTATGCCGCGGGGAGTAGGACTGTATTTAGCACATTCACTGTCTGATTTACAGACACAATAGTAAGACAATAGCAATGTATTATGTGCAATGCAATGGACAGTGAATGTGTTAAGTTTTTAGTTTAACTTTTATAGTTTATTAAGGTAATAAATGTTGTATATTTGAAAGAAACATATTTGGATATCAACTAACTAAGTACATAGGTTCTCTATTTCAATGAAGAAGTCATGTGGATAGTATTTGAACTCAAATTTAGATAATGAAATTTGGCAGTAAATGTCAATAATTAAACGAATTCATAACCTATTCGCATATTGACAGAGTTTTCTTTAAGCCCGAGACCACCAATAAACGATGTTTTGTAATGAGAACGTAAGAGTTAAGGGTTATTATTAAATTCTAAAGTAATTGCAAAACCTAAACCTTTTCGAAATAAACTAAAAATTTTTGAATTCATTTAAGGAATAAATTTTTATTTGTATCAAATTTCAGTTGTTCCTTCTAAAGCCAGATCTTTAATACAATAATGCGCTCAAATAACAAACCGTCTTTATAAGAAGTGAGCTATTTTAATAATAAGTAATAATTTTTTATTATTCACGTTTTGCCGATTAATTAATGTGTGTTAAATAATCACGCAAGTGGATTAGGATGCGTAAAACGAAGGTAGTCTTATTATGAAACGTTGTTTATTTATAGTATCGGGTTTAAAGTATGGTTTACAAAGAGTCTTTAAAACTAAAGATGTCCCATAAACATAGCGCCTAAGTCATCGCGATATTTGACATTAATTTGCTGTTAAATTTCAAAAATTCCGTTTGCATAATTCCACAGGATTTATTTCGTACTACAGATTTTAGCTGCATCATCATCATTACAGCCTTTTACAACTCTGCTGAACATAGGCCTCCCCCAAGGAATGCCACAGAGTACGGTCCCGAGTCACCTGCATGTCTTACTGGGTCGTCGCACCAGTTTTAGTTAGCTTTAGACTAATTATAAACTCCTTTTCGGAAGACTTTTAGTTCATGATTTTCAGATCAATTAATAATGGATATCAGAACAAAACTTAGCATTGTCACGAAAGTATAGTTAACGAAAAGAAATTAAATTTGTAATTGCGTTATCTCACATGTTACAGACAAAGTAAATATTAATATGCATTAAGAACAGCGAGATATCACACGAGATAGCGGAGTGAGGGGATGGTGGTGGTGTGGTGACGGTGGCAGGTGAGCGGCGTGCAGCTAGTGCAGCGAGTGCAGCTAGACGACGAGCACGAACGGCGTGTCGCTTATCATAAATGCTGCGGCGGCCCGCGCGGGCCCGCCAGCGCCAGCCCGCCGCCGTCCAGGCGCGGCCACTCCACGAACTCCTTGCCGTGCCTGCAACCAACGTACCACTTTATGTTTATAAACCTATGTATTAATACGTCAAGGGAAGTTTCTATACAATTTCAATATTGCGCGCACGGAGGAGTGTGTGTCTCAAATAAACTAACTATGCCAAATGGGCATAGTTAGTTTATTTGAAGGAAAGCAGAAAACTAAAGTTTACGTTTGCAAATACATATAATAAAATAAAATAAAACACAAATTGTTTACGTTCACACTGCCAATGTCAAACACATAATAATCTATGCTAAAAAAACTGTACAGAGTAGACATTTTCGTCAAAAAATTTAAAAATGCTGCCTAGAAATAATTACTGACAGATTCATAACTCAAAATTGTTAAAATCTGTGGTTGCTAACCCAGCCAAATGTGGCAACTATGGCAAATATTCCCCCTTCCACTAAACAATCTATAGGGGAGGCCTATGTTCAGCAGTGCACTTTGATAAGCAGTAATGATGATGATGATTCATTAGACTGTGTCGTTTACCTCCTTTATTTATTTTATGAACTAAATACAAAAATAATGAAGCACACCGTGAACACTATTACAACCGAATTACGGATTATTATTGCGGCCTAATAAAAATCGATAAAGAATGAATGAATTTCTTTATTTTGCAAATATAGGTTGGTTTCCACCATATTTTACCAGAAGGCATGCAGAAAATATAAAATATATTTTTTATCAATTTATATAGATACAAAAGGCTGCACTAAAAGTATCAGGAATGGAATATTTCCACTGTTCCTGTCATATTAAAATCTTTTTAATTGAAAAGTCCTTGGTTTTTTTTTATATTGAATACCATTTATTTATTTAAAAAAAGATTCTCGGTCTTGTCACAAGGTTTTGTTAAAGTTGTTTAGTCGTTGAGAAAATGGAATTGACTCGAGAAAATTCAAGAGCGATTTATGACTTTCGAAGTGCATTTGGTGATGAAGCCCCATCCAAAACCACAATTTATCGCTGGTTTGCTGAATTTCAACGTAAACGTGTCAAGCTCAGTGATGATCCCCGTCAAGGTCGTCCAAAAACTGCAGTCACCCAAGAAAACGTTGATGATGTGCGTAAGCTGATTGAGGAAGATCGACATGTGACATACCGCGAAATTCAGGCAACTTTAGACATTGGCATGAGTCAAATACAAATAATCTTGCATGAACAATTAGGTTCAAACGAAGAGATTCGCAATATGGCAAGTTTGAAAGATGACCTTATCACAAAAATTGATAAGGGCGTGCTTCGGTGGTTTGGGCACGTTGAGCGAATGAGTGAAGACCGAATGATGAAGAAAATATATAACGCGAAAGTAAATATTAAAAAGTGTCGAGGTAGACCGAGACTAACTTTCGAAGACCATGTGAGCAAATTGCTCGAAGAGGGGAGGGTCAAGAGTACTCGGATACCTAGACGTGCATGTATGAAGAAGATAATGAATCTTAAAGAAGAAAAAGAGGTATGTAAGGATCGTGACACTTGGCGATCTGTTCTCTCTGGCTACCCCGTCAGGGATTGTGCGTGAAGATAAGTAAGTAAGTAAGTAACAATTAGGTGTAAAAAAGTTGTTTTCCCGATGGATACCGCATTCGCTCTGTGAAGAGCAAAAAGCGGCTCGCGTTACTTGGTGCGTCAGAACTCTCGAAAGATTCCACGCAGGATCCTCAAATGCTGTATACAACATCGTATCAGGTGACGAATCCTGGATATACGCGTACGAACCCGAAACAAAAAACCAGTCACGAGTTTGGGTGTTCGAAAATGAGTTAAAGCCAACAAAAATTGTTCGTTCACGGAGTGTTGCAAAAAAAATGGTGGCCACGTTTGTCTCCAAAACCGGCCATGTTACGACTATTCCTCTTGAGGGACAAAGAACGGTTAATGCAGAATGGTATGCTAGCATTTGTTTGCCACAGGTCGTTTCTGAACTCCGTAAAGAGAACTGCAACCGCCGCATCATCCTCCATCACGACAATGCGAGTTCTCACACCGCACACAGAACAAAAGAGTTTTTAGAGCAAGAAAACATAGAATTATTAGACCATCCGCCGTACAGCCCCGACCTAAGCCCTAATAATTTCTATACTTTCCCTAAAATAAAGAATAAATTGCGTGGACAGAGATTTTCATCACCTGAAGAAGCTGTGGACGCCTACAAAACGGCCATTTTGGAGACCCCAACTTCCGAATGGAATGGTTGCTTCAATGATTGGTTCCATCGTATGGAAAAATGTGTCAAATTTCGCGGAGAATACTTCGAAAAGCAATAAATACATTTTTAAATAGTAATGTTGTGTCACTTCCTTGATTCCCGAAATTTTCAGTGCCGCCCTCGTATGTCATTCACATAAAGATAAATAAATAAAGCTTACTTGAATATGAAGGAGAGAGTGGCGCCAACCGCAGCGCCCCAGAACATGAGGTAGAGCAGCACTTCGTTGCTGTAGCGAGACGGGAGCACCGCGCTCGCGCAGAACATCGACACTGCCACCAGCAGCACTGACGGGAACTGTCACAAATACATAAAAACTTTAACAAATCTATTTATTACTAGTGATTCGTATGGTAGCAACTGGCAAATATTTTCCCTATGAGGTAATCTATTGACGGTGATCACTTACCATCACCTGATCAGACGGGTGTCTGCCTCCTCTTCCATAAAAAAAATCTATGGGGGAGGCCTAAGTTCTGCAGTGGACTTTTTATAAGCTGTAATATGTGAATAATAATTGTAAAATCGGAGTTTGACAATTTCTTTTTTAACTTCTTAAAGAAATTTATGGTTAAATGTATTAAGTCTTACGACTCAACTATAAATCTTCGTTGACCTACAAAGTTAACGACTTACAGTTAGATACTTCCAGTCTCTGTCTCGTCGCAAGGGACAAGGCACTGTGTTTCCCTCGCCATCTGTTACTATGTACTTGCCGAGTAACAGGTCTATTGAGTCCTGCAAATAACAATAAAATATAATGTTTATTTTTGCACTTTATTTATTTTTAAATTCAATTTATTTTATATTTCTCTGCCTCACAAAGGACTGGTTTACTTAATTACGTAATTTTAGAATATAATTACTCGTGACTAAGAGTGCTGCAAAGCTCTAAAAACGTCGGAAATTTCAATGTAAGTTCAAAAATTCTACTACAGGTAAATATTTCAAGCTAACACGAATATTAACTAAAGATTCTAGAAGTTTCTAGAAATAATTCGAAGCACTCACCTGCCGGAAGCCATCGCTGAAGTTGTTCTTGTAGTACCTGGTGAGGGAGTTGATACCGTCGCGTATCGCGCCGAGGCGGGTTCGCTTCCCGGTGCGCGTGAAGTCGGTCTTCAGCGCGCCCGTGCCCGAGTACTGCACCGAGATCATGTCCGCGTGGTCCGCCCACACCTTCACACACACACTCCAATAAGTTTGTGACGTGAATCATCATCATCATCATCATCATCATTACAGACTTTCAAAAGTCCACTGCTGAATACGGGCCTCCCTAAAGGAATGCTTACAAAGCACGGTCCTGAGCCACCTACATCCATCGACTTCCTGTATGTCTTACCACCTGGTAAGACGTACAGGTAGTCGACCATCTAGTGGGGTACCGCGCCCCACACTTCGCCTACCGGTACGAGGTTAGTTCTCGAGAACCTTTATTGCCCCATCGTTTGTCGGTTCTCCGAATTATTAGCGACAGGTTATTTGGCAGGGCGGACCCCGAACTCAAAAAAGTTGTAAGTTCGAATCCACCAAAGACTACTGTCGTGAACCACTCCTAACAAAAGCCTTTTCAGCCTACCAGTAGTGGTAAAAAGAAATATAAGAAGAAATGTAATGTTAATAGCATTGCTAGTATTTTTTATTAAAACTAGCTGTTCCCCGGCACTTCGTCCGCGTGTTATTTGGGGTTTTAATTTTTTTGCGCGGAACACTAATTCTTTTTCTAAAATAAAAATAGCCTAAGTTACTCCTTGTGACATCAGCTATCTGCCAGTGAAAATCCCGTCAAAATCCGTCCAGGCGTTTCGGAGATTAGCCGAAACAAACAGACAGATAGACAGACTTTTGTTATTACAATACAGCTGTAATTTTGACATTACAAACAGACACTTCAATTTTATTGTATTTGTATAGATATATAGATACGTCGAATAGGTCTTTAAATTTGCTTCCATAGTCTGAGGCAATTCAGAAATATGATGAAAACAAAATCGGGGGATACAGTTTGGTGTTGTAACTACATATCCTTCCACTACATCCAATATTGGATTACACTACTCGATAGCTAAAAGATCAAAGAATTCATAACGCATCACGAGTGGTGAAGGGGAGCGCCGCCATTTTAAGGTTTTGTTACGTACACGACGTATTCACGTATAACACACGACCGCGTCCAGGACACAACCACACCCCGACTTTTCTACCGACTTCAAAAAGGAGACGGTACTCAATTCGACTGTATGTTTTTTTTTAATGGGTGTTACCTCATAACTCTTTTCTGGGTGAACCGATTTCGATGATTCTTTTCTTATTTGAAAGCTGATGCTTCTCATGTGGTCCCATATAAATTTGATCAAGGTCTGACCAATATTTTTTTTATAGGATATGGGTGACAAACGAGCACACAGTCCATCTGATGGTAAGTGGTTGCTGCGGCCCATAGACATCTACATTTATCTTCTATTACAAATCAAAATGTAGAGGCGTTGTCACCCGTGAGGACTAAGATGGAATGCCTCATTTCCAGTAAAAAGGGCCTCCAGCCACCTGCACTCATCAAGCGAAACGTAGAGGTAAACCTCTATTTCACGCTGGTTTTCTGTGAGGTCGTGGTACCACCCCGGTTCGAGCCGGCCCATCCGTGCGACAGCAAAAGCTGCCGCGTGGCTCTACCACTGTAAATAAATAGTTTTAAGTTATTCTTAATAATAAAAACAAAAGTAAGTAAATAAAGTCGGTTGTACAACTTTTAATTATTTTTCTTTGGTAATGGACTCTTACTGTTGCACTTTTGATAGTTTCAAGTATATTAAGAAATTTTCCTTTATAGTAATTTGATTAAAAATTTCTTCACAATATGTGGACGCGTCACATTGTTAAGTTTTTGGAAGGTTTTGACGGCAGCTTTAGCCCTGTAGACAGTCGATGACGATGGTATCTCAAGGCACCCATGCAGACACATTATCTTGAGATTTCAATCACCAATCGGAACACTTGTTTCTGTTTCCACTAACAGTTCACATTCGCAAACATGTAATACACAAAATATCACCAATTTTACGTATTGAAATCTACTTCAAACCATTATTTAAACAATAATAAAGGAGCAGAAATCCACCACTTTGTTACGTGGTAGAGCCATGCTGCAGCTAGCTTAATAGTATAGTTGTAGCACGAATGGGTCTGCTCGACCGGGGAATGACCACGCTCTCACAGAATATCAGCGTAAAATAGCAGCATAATGCTGCTGTGTTTCGTATGGCGAGTGTAGAGAACCGGAGACCCATTTTACTAGACAAGAGGCATTCTATTTTAGTCCTCACGGCTGACAACGCATCTGCATTTTAATTCGCAAACGAAGATAGATGTAGATGTCTATGGGCCACAGCAACAACTTAGTATCAGGTGGACTGTCTGCTCGTTGTCGATCAAGTTCCGCGAAAACTCGCACCAGTTTATACAAGAGATGTATATTATACTGTAAGTTGTCTTTTGTTACCGTGGTTGAGCTACGCCACACGAATTCGGCACGACCGGGGAAAGATCTCGCTCGCACAGAATATCAAAGTGAAATAACAACGTAATACTGCTATTAGCGACGAGAACCGGAGATCCTTTTCACTGTCCGTTAGTCCTCAGTGTTAATAACACATTGTACACAGCATCCATTACCATCAGGTGCACTGTGTGCTCGTTAGTCACCTCTTTTTCTGTAAATAACCACTAGTCAATCATTAATTTTCGAATAGCATACTATGCTTGTACACCGATCATTGAGGAAATCCAATCTTTACGTCTGCAAAATAGGAATGTCAATTTTATTAATTAATCATCAATGTTGTCGAATTGATTCAAAAAAAAAATTAAGTTATTAATAAAAAGTAATCTGTCTTAAAAAAAATAATTTGCATATAATTTAATAGCTTCTGAAGTTGGTGCAAAAACAAAGTGTGTCGAAGCAAATTCACAATGATCATTATAATCAATTCATCAAAATCAATCATTAAAATCGGATCACAATTGGCGAAGATATCGCGTAATCTACACTACTATTATTTGTTTGTTTGTTTGTTTGAATTGAATAGGCTCCGAAACTACTGGACCGATTTGAAAAATTCTTTCACCATTAGAATCCTACATTATATTAGCCTATGATTATCTCTGATGAACAAAAAAGTTAGGGATTCGTATGAAAACTTCGTTAATGTAAGCCAAGGTGTGAAAAAAATACCTAAAAGAATCCTTACATCGCGTACACTGCGGAAACTATTGATAACAGAGCAAAGTAATGTACTTCAGTTTTATAGAAAATATTAATATCTACAAAAAAGTCTGCGATACCATATGTTTAACTATTACAGTTATGTCACAATAACTACTTTTTCATATTAATATGTGAAATAGTAACGCCGGTACAAAATAGGCCACATTATTCGTATCAGTACCTGTATCACGCATAACCACCAACTACGTTAACCATGTAATTTTAGTAACATATTTCACTTTTTAAATCTTTGCTAATTCAGCAACCGTCCGTCGTGATGTCTCTCTCGAATTTCGCATGTCGCAAGGCGCAGACGCGTGATATACGCTGGTGAAACCGCGGGGCACAGCTAGTCTATATACAAAACAACCCTTTTTGACGCCTAAAGGGTAAAGTTCAACAAAGTTGGTACACACCAGGCATCATTTTGTGTGTCACCTGACTCCGTGCCAATTTAACTGACCGTGTTGAAGAGTGCGTCGAGATGCGGGTGCTGATTGTCAACCGTCGTGACGGCCAGCAGTCGCAGGGCTGCAGCGAGCTGACGCCGCGCCAACAACGACTGCACCACGTTGGTGCGATCCAGGCAGTCCACACAGTTGGTGCGGAATACGCCGCTCTGTCGCAGGAGTACAGTGCCTCCTCGTGATAGGAAGTAGCCGAATTCCGTCTGAAAATATAATATTCATTGTAGAATTATTGCCATAATAAACTTGTCCAAATAACACAAAATTTTCTGAACATTAAAACCAACCAATGTTCCATGTCATTGTCCAAATTATATAGAAGTGTCTGTTAACATTTTTAATTATAGACGTAATGTTTTAAATAATTATTTCTTCATCAGCCAGTAACAGTCCACTATTTGACAAATACCTTCCAAATTGTAAGGAGTATCTGTCGTCAATCCCATGTAAATAAGCAATCAGTATAATCACCAGTCAATTTATATTTAGTACTACCCGCCCTCATAACTACTACTACGCCTACCTATATCCATAATTATATGTCCCGATGTACTCTCCCCCTCCCCGATCTTCAAAGCGTATAAAAAGAAACCCTCCACGACATAATCGACTTCTATACTATATCTAATTTCAACAGAAGCCCTTTGAGCTTGATTGAATGACAAACAGACAAACACATTTATAAAAAAAAATATAAGATAAAAGTATAATTTTATAGCAAATATATGTAACAATCCTTATTTTTAGACTAAATTTTAGATAATAAATCACAAAAGAATATTTGATTTCTAATAAAATTGTTTTCTAATAGCGCCATCTACTTCATTCTACAGGTTGTCATTTTATCGAACAAAAATTGATTGACGTAAAGTAGACGCTAGATAGCCTGAAGTTATGAAATCGTGGTATATTAAGATAATTTTATTCAATATGGTTATTTATTTATTTAATTAATTTGCTAATTTGTTAAAGAAAATTAAAAAAAATAATTAAAAAAAAAGACAATAGTTGAATTGCGGATTTGAACTCACAACCTTTTGAGAACACGATCTACACCATGAAGCAAATACAAAGAGGAGACGGCATAAGCAACTGTGCACTGTGATTCAAAGTAGGTGGGCGTGGCGTTAGTTAGTATATTGTCAGGATTCGTCCTGTGCGCTTATGTGTTGAAAATCGCAAATCGGTGTATTTTCGTAGTATTAAGAAGAAAATGATTGTGTTGGGAACTGTTGTGTTTTATGTTATCCACTCAAACGTCCAAAAAAAAAATTTATACGTTTATTTTTCTCCGAATTCAATGTTCACACCTATTTTTAATATCTTAAATGATTATTTGAGATCTTAAAACATACATAGATTTCATTTGTATTCTTCTATTAATTTTACGTAGTTTTTTTTCTTTATTCTAACTATTATAGTTAAGTAGCTATGTAGGTTTATGTTAACCCATGCGAGCGCGGTAGCAGCCGAATTAGGGCCGCGAGTATCTGGACGTACAAGGGTATAACAATCGCGCGATCTGGACGCTTGAGTGGTTATAAAAACTACTCAGATAGACGCTCTGATACTATGGATGGCATCACATTTCATTTGTAAGTAATTTTATACCTAATTTATTTAAATAGTTCTAGAAAAATCTCTTTGCGTCGGCTTTCAAATGTAATTAAATATATTCGACACTAGATGGCGACACTTTGTGTCATGTGAACTAAAAATATAAAGGTACGTAGAGCTCAGTATTTGGTAAAATAATCATGCGAACGTGCTGAAATTGTGTGCTTAACATCCCTTCACCCCGCAAGTTGTCACGCGTTGTTACATAGTGCCCCCGCCCACTTTACACTATCTACATCTACCGATAAAGTAAAACTACTCGAATCGTTCCATATCAATTATGCAATGTAGTTTAGCTACTTTGACGAGAGATGGCGGCCTTTTCCCAAAATGATTATAAACTATAAAAATGATATTTTGGATATTAAAATTTCTTTGTCTGAATGCAAAACAAATTTCAGCACCTTCGTATGATTATTTTACCAATACTGAGCTCTACGTACCTTTATATTTTCTGCCGACTTCCAAAAAGGAGACGGTACTCAATTCGGCGCGTTTTTTTATGTGTGTTACCTCATAACTTTTTACTGGGTGAACCGATTTCGATGATTTTTTTTTTATATGAAAGCTGATACTTCTCGTGTGGTCCCATATGAATTTGATCAAGGTGAGACCAATAGTTTTTGAGTTATTTGAGTTATTCTTAATAACTTATATTGAAGTCGGCTGTACAAATTTTTTAATTTTAAATTTTATTAGTTCACATGACACAAAGTGTCGCCATCTAGTGTCGAATATATTTAATTATATTTGAAAGCCGATGCAAAGAGATTTTTCTAGAACTATTTCAATAAATTAGGTATAAAATTACTTAAAAATGAAATGTGATGCCATCCATAGCACCAGAGCGTCTATCTGAGTAGTTTTTACACGATAAAACACAAAATTACATCCTTTTCTTCTTAATACTACGAAAATACACAGATTTGCGATTTTCAACACATAAGCGCACAGTATACACTCTTTGTATTTGCTTCATGCTCATTCTACACTGTATTCTATCTCATTCTCTTGCAGATTAAATCCTATAGATGTATATGTTTGTCTCATTTTAGTGTCGCTTTTTCGTATCATTCTGTTTCAAATCACAACTATACCAAAGAAGTTTTCACTTCAATGAATGCTAAGCCGCTGTCGCACTGAGCACAGTGAACGCTACGTACCTGCTCGTGCGCGATCCTGTCCATGAGCACGGTGAGGCGGTCGTAGCGCATGCCGCGGCACTCTGCGTGGAAGTCGAAGGGCTCGTAGCGCACGCCGGGCAGCGTGCACTCTGCACTCGGACGCTGAGCCGCTGTCGCACTGAGCACAGTGAACGTACTGCTACGTACCTGCTCGTGCGCGATCCTGTCCATGAGTACGGTGAGGCGGTCGTAGCGCATGCCGCGGCACTCTGCGTGGAAGTCGAAGGGCTCGTAGCGCACGCCGGGCAGCGTGCACTCTGCACTCGGACGCTGAGCCGCTGTCGCACTGAGCACAGTGAACGTACTGCTACGTACCTGCTCGTGCGCGATCCTGTCCATGAGCACGGTGAGGCGGTCGTAGCGCATGCCGCGGCACTCTGCGTGGAAGTCGAAGGGCTCGTAGCGCACGCCGGGCAGCGTGCACTCTGCACTCGGACGCTGAGCCGCTGTCGCACTGAGCACAGTGAACGTACTGCTACGTACCTGCTCGTGCGCGATCCTGTCCATGAGCACGGTGAGGCGGTCGTAGCGCATGTCGCGGCACTCTGCGTGGAAGTCGAAGGGCTCGTAGCGCACGCCGGGCAGCGTGCACTCTGCACTCGGACGCTGAGCCGCTGTCGCACTGAGCACAGTGAACGTACTGCTACGTACCTGCTCGTGCGCGATCCTGTCCATGAGCACGGTGAGGCGGTCGTAGCGCATGCCGCGGCACTCTGCGTGGAAGTCGAAGGGCTCGTAGCGCACGCCGGGCAGCGTGCACTCTGCACTCGGACGCTGAGCCGCTGTCGCACTGAGCACAGTGAACGTACTGCTACGTACCTGCTCGTGCGCGATCCTGTCCATGAGCACGGTGAGGCGGTCGTAGCGCATGCCGCGGCACTCTGCGTGGAAGTCGAAGGGCTCGTAGCGCACGCCGGGCAGCGTGCACTCTGCACTCGGACGCTGAGCCGCTGTCGCACTGAGCACAGTGAACGTACTGCTACGTACCTGCTCGTGCGCGATCCTGTCCATGAGCACGGTGAGGCGGTCGTAGCGCATGCCGCGGCACTCTGCGTGGAAGTCGAAGGGCTCGTAGCGCACGCCGGGCAGCGTGCACTCTGCACTCGGACGCTGAGCCGCTGTCGCACTGAGCACAGTGAACGTACTGCTACGTACCTGCTCGTGCGCGATCCTGTCCATGAGCACGGTGAGGCGGTCGTAGCGCATGCCGCGGCACTCTGCGTGGAAGTCGAAGGGCTCGTAGCGCACGCCGGGCAGCGTGCACTCTGCACTCGGACGCTGAGCCGCTGTCGCACTGAGCACAGTGAACGTACTGCTACGTACCTGCTCGTGCGCGATCCTGTCCATGAGTACGGTGAGGCGGTCGTAGCGCATGCCGCGGCACTCTGCGTGGAAGTCGAAGGGCTCGTAGCGCACGCCGGGCAGCGTGCACTCTGCACTCGGACGCTGAGCCGCTGTCGCACTGAGCACAGTGAACGTACTGCTACGTACCTGCTCGTGCGCGATCCTGTCCATGAGCACGGTGAGGCGGTCGTAGCGCATGCCGCGGCACTCTGCGTGGAAGTCGAAGGGCTCGTAGCGCACGCCGGGCAGCGTGCACTCTGCACTCGGACGCTGAGCCGCTGTCGCACTGAGCACAGTGAACGTACTGCTACGTACCTGCTCGTGCGCGATCCTGTCCATGAGCACGGTGAGGCGGTCGTAGCGCATGCCGCGGCACTCTGCGTGGAAGTCGAAGGGCTCGTAGCGCACGCCGGGCAGCGTGCACTCTGCACTCGGACGCTGAGCCGCTGTCGCACTGAGCACAGTGAACGTACTGCTACGTACCTGCTCGTGCGCGATCCTGTCCATGAGCACGGTGAGGCGGTCGTAGCGCATGCCGCGGCACTCTGCGTGGAAGTCGAAGGGCTCGTAGCGCACGCCGGGCAGCGTGCACTCTGCACTCGGACGCTGAGCCGCTGTCGCACTGAGCACAGTGAACGTACTGCTACGTACCTGCTCGTGCGCGATCCTGTCCATGAGCACGGTGAGGCGGTCGTAGCGCATGCCGCGGCACTCTGCGTGGAAGTCGAAGGGCTCGTAGCGCACGCCGGGCAGCGTGCACTCTGCACTCGGACGCTGAGCCGCTGTCGCACTGAGCACAGTGAACGTACTGCTACGTACCTGCTCGTGCGCGATCCTGTCCATGAGTACGGTGAGGCGGTCGTAGCGCATGCCGCGGCACTGTGCGTGGAAGTCGAAGGGCTCGTAGCGCACGCCGGGCAGCGTGCACTCTGCACTCGGACGCTGAGCCGCTGTCGCACTGAGCACAGTGAACGTACTGCTACGTACCTGCTCGTGCGCGATCCTGTCCATGAGTACGGTGAGGCGGTCGTAGCGCATGCCGCGGCACTCTGCGTGGAAGTCGAAGGGCTCGTAGCGCACGCCGGGCAGCGTGCACTCTGCACTCGGACGCTGAGCCGCTGTCGCACTGAGCACAGTGAACGTACTGCTACGTACCTGCTCGTGCGCGATCCTGTCCATGAGTACGGTGAGGCGGTCGTAGCGCATGCCGCGGCACTCTGCGTGGAAGTCGAAGGGCTCGTAGCGCACGCCGGGCAGCGTGCACTCTGCACTCGGACGCTGAGCCGCTGTCGCACTGAGCACAGTGAACGTACTGCTACGTACCTGCTCGTGCGCGATCCTGTCCATGAGTACGGTGAGGCGGTCGTAGCGCATGCCGCGGCACTCTGCGTGGAAGTCGAAGGGCTCGTAGCGCACGCCGGGCAGCGTGCACTCTGCACTCGGACGCTGAGCCGCTGTCGCACTGAGCACAGTGAACGTACTGCTACGTACCTGCTCGTGCGCGATCCTGTCCATGAGTACGGTGAGGCGGTCGTAGCGCATGCCGCGGCACTCTGCGTGGAAGTCGAAGGGCTCGTAGCGCACGCCGGGCAGCGTGCACTCTGCACTCGGACGCTGAGCCGCTGTCGCACTGAGCACAGTGAACGTACTGCTACGTACCTGCTCGTGCGCGATCCTGTCCATGAGTACGGTGAGGCGGTCGTAGCGCATGCCGCGGCACTCTGCGTGGAAGTCGAAGGGCTCGTAGCGCACGCCGGGCAGCGTGCACTCTGCACTCGGACGCTGAGCCGCTGTCGCACTGAGCACAGTGAACGTACTGCTACGTACCTGCTCGTGCGCGATCCTGTCCATGAGTACGGTGAGGCGGTCGTAGCGCATGCCGCGGCACTCTGCGTGGAAGTCGAAGGGCTCGTAGCGCACGCCGGGCAGCGTGCACTCTGCACTCGGACGCTGAGCCGCTGTCGCACTGAGCACAGTGAACGTACTGCTACGTACCTGCTCGTGCGCGATCCTGTCCATGAGTACGGTGAGGCGGTCGTAGCGCATGCCGCGGCACTCTGCGTGGAAGTCGAAGGGCTCGTAGCGCACGCCGGGCAGCGTGCACTCTGCACTCGGACGCTGAGCCGCTGTCGCACTGAGCACAGTGAACGTACTGCTACGTACCTGCTCGTGCGCGATCCTGTCCATGAGTACGGTGAGGCGGTCGTAGCGCATGCCGCGGCACTCTGCGTGGAAGTCGAAGGGCTCGTAGCGCACGCCGGGCAGCGTGCACTCTGCACTCGGACGCTGAGCCGCTGTCGCACTGAGCACAGTGAACGTACTGCTACGTACCTGCTCGTGCGCGATCCTGTCCATGAGTACGGTGAGGCGGTCGTAGCGCATGCCGCGGCACTCTGCGTGGAAGTCGAAGGGCTCGTAGCGCACGCCGGGCAGCGTGCACTCTGCACTCGGACGCTGAGCCGCTGTCGCACTGAGCACAGTGAACGTACTGCTACGTACCTGCTCGTGCGCGATCCTGTCCATGAGCACGGTGAGGCGGTCGTAGCGCATGCCGCGGCACTCTGCGTGGAAGTCGAAGGGCTCGTAGCGCACGCCGGGCAGCGTGCACTCTGCACTCGGACGCTGAGCCGCTGTCGCACTGAGCACAGTGAACGTACTGCTACGTACCTGCTCGTGCGCGATCCTGTCCATGAGCACGGTGAGGCGGTCGTAGCGCATGCCGCGGCACTCTGCGTGGAAGTCGAAGGGCTCGTAGCGCACGCCGGGCAGCGTGCACTCTGCACTCGGACGCTGAGCCGCTGTCGCACTGAGCACAGTGAACGTACTGCTACGTACCTGCTCGTGCGCGATCCTGTCCATGAGCACGGTGAGGCGGTCGTAGCGCATGCCGCGGCACTCTGCGTGGAAGTCGAAGGGCTCGTAGCGCACGCCGGGCAGCGTGCACTCTGCACTCGGACGCTGAGCCGCTGTCGCACTGAGCACAGTGAACGTACTGCTACGTACCTGCTCGTGCGCGATCCTGTCCATGAGTACGGTGAGGCGGTCGTAGCGCATGCCGCGGCACTCTGCGTGGAAGTCGAAGGGCTCGTAGCGCACGCCGGGCAGCGTGCACTCTGCACTCGGACGCTGAGCCGCTGTCGCACTGAGCACAGTGAACGTACTGCTACGTACCTGCTCGTGCGCGATCCTGTCCATGAGCACGGTGAGGCGGTCGTAGCGCATGCCGCGGCACTCTGCGTGGAAGTCGAAGGGCTCGTAGCGCACGCCGGGCAGCGTGCACTCTGCACTCGGACGCTGAGCCGCTGTCGCACTGAGCACAGTGAACGTACTGCTACGTACCTGCTCGTGCGCGATCCTGTCCATGAGCACGGTGAGGCGGTCGTAGCGCATGCCGCGGCACTCTGCGTGGAAGTCGAAGGGCTCGTAGCGCACGCCGGGCAGCGTGCACTCTGCACTCGGACGCTGAGCCGCTGTCGCACTGAGCACAGTGAACGTACTGCTACGTACCTGCTCGTGCGCGATCCTGTCCATGAGCACGGTGAGGCGGTCGTAGCGCATGCCGCGGCACTCTGCGTGGAAGTCGAAGGGCTCGTAGCGCACGCCGGGCAGCGTGCACTCTGCACTCGGACGCTGAGCCGCTGTCGCACTGAGCACAGTGAACGTACTGCTACGTACCTGCTCGTGCGCGATCCTGTCCATGAGCACGGTGAGGCGGTCGTAGCGCATGCCGCGGCACTCTGCGTGGAAGTCGAAGGGCTCGTAGCGCACGCCGGGCAGCGTGCACTCTGCACTCGGACGCTGAGCCGCTGTCGCACTGAGCACAGTGAACGTACTGCTACGTACCTGCTCGTGCGCGATCCTGTCCATGAGCACGGTGAGGCGGTCGTAGCGCATGCCGCGGCACTCTGCGTGGAAGTCGAAGGGCTCGTAGCGCACGCCGGGCAGCGTGCACTCTGCACTCGGACGCTGAGCCGCTGTCGCACTGAGCACAGTGAACGTACTGCTACGTACCTGCTCGTGCGCGATCCTGTCCATGAGCACGGTGAGGCGGTCGTAGCGCATGCCGCGGCACTCTGCGTGGAAGTCGAAGGGCTCGTAGCGCACGCCGGGCAGCGTGCACTCTGCACTCGGACGCTGAGCCGCTGTCGCACTGAGCACAGTGAACGTACTGCTACGTACCTGCTCGTGCGCGATCCTGTCCATGAGCACGGTGAGGCGGTCGTAGCGCATGCCGCGGCACTCTGCGTGGAAGTCGAAGGGCTCGTAGCGCACGCCGGGCAGCGTGCACTCTGCACTCGGACGCTGAGCCGCTGTCGCACTGAGCACAGTGAACGTACTGCTACGTACCTGCTCGTGCGCGATCCTGTCCATGAGCACGGTGAGGCGGTCGTAGCGCATGCCGCGGCACTCTGCGTGGAAGTCGAAGGGCTCGTAGCGCACGCCGGGCAGCGTGCACTCTGCACTCGGACGCTGAGCCGCTGTCGCACTGAGCACAGTGAACGTACTGCTACGTACCTGCTCGTGCGCGATCCTGTCCATGAGCACGGTGAGGCGGTCGTAGCGCATGCCGCGGCACTCTGCGTGGAAGTCGAAGGGCTCGTAGCGCACGCCGGGCAGCGTGCACTCTGCACTCGGACGCTGAGCCGCTGTCGCACTGAGCACAGTGAACGTACTGCTACGTACCTGCTCGTGCGCGATCCTGTCCATGAGCACGGTGAGGCGGTCGTAGCGCATGCCGCGGCACTCTGCGTGGAAGTCGAAGGGCTCGTAGCGCACGCCGGGCAGCGTGCACTCTGCACTCGGACGCTGAGCCGCTGTCGCACTGAGCACAGTGAACGTACTGCTACGTACCTGCTCGTGCGCGATCCTGTCCATGAGCACGGTGAGGCGGTCGTAGCGCATGCCGCGGCACTCTGCGTGGAAGTCGAAGGGCTCGTAGCGCACGCCGGGCAGCGTGCACTCTGCACTCGGACGCTGAGCCGCTGTCGCACTGAGCACAGTGAACGTACTGCTACGTACCTGCTCGTGCGCGATCCTGTCCATGAGCACGGTGAGGCGGTCGTAGCGCATGCCGCGGCACTCTGCGTGGAAGTCGAAGGGCTCGTAGCGCACGCCGGGCAGCGTGCACTCTGCACTCGGACGCTGAGCCGCTGTCGCACTGAGCACAGTGAACGTACTGCTACGTACCTGCTCGTGCGCGATCCTGTCCATGAGCACGGTGAGGCGGTCGTAGCGCATGCCGCGGCACTCTGCGTGGAAGTCGAAGGGCTCGTAGCGCACGCCGGGCAGCGTGCACTCTGCACTCGGACGCTGAGCCGCTGTCGCACTGAGCACAGTGAACGTACTGCTACGTACCTGCTCGTGCGCGATCCTGTCCATGAGTACGGTGAGGCGGTCGTAGCGCATGCCGCGGCACTCTGCGTGGAAGTCGAAGGGCTCGTAGCGCACGCCGGGCAGCGCGGCCGCGGCTACGGCGGCGCGGTAGCCGCGCTCCAGCGCTTCCTCTTTGCCGTGCATGTCAATCTGCGCACAGCATAACACACGTATTTTTTTATATTTTAACCGTTCTTTTATCTATACGCCACCCCTACATGGTAAGCCGTGCTAGCTCAGAAGCTAGGGACTCGCTGTAAATTTCACAGTACGCGAGCAGTCTGGGTTCATGTAGGGTCGATATATCGAGTAACATTCAGTTTCGCAATCATTTGGAAGGGAAGGCAAAATTCCTAAAAGGCTTGGCGTGCTCATTAGAGCCTCACATGGAATACTTTTCCCATCTCTAAGTCGAGGCACCCTAGTATCAGTTTCTTTATTTGACTGCATTAAGCGAAGAACGGCCCAAAACGTCGACGATTCAGTTGTTTCTGATCGGTTTTGCATGCATAAATTGCACGTGCACACATGTCGACCCGAAACAATTATTTTTAGGCCATACAATTTTTTTCCAACAGACCATACACCAAACAGAAGACGCTAAGCCATTGCACTATCAAGCCTCCGCCGTATAATATTGAGAATAATAATGATGTGAAATTAATGATTTTTTCGAATTGCAGCAATGTACCTCAAATGCAGGGTGATTAACTTCGATTTCATTGTACATTGTCAATTACAATTTTAAGTGCTGGGTACTCAGTGGTAATGGAGAACGACATGAGCAAATCATTAAATCTCAGAAATAATATAATTGCTATTTGAAATAACTGACAAGGAAACAAACTTTAGTAAGGAAACAAAGTGAAATGACTTCAAAAAATGTAGGCCAAAATTTTTGGCATCTCTTCGAACAAAGATGGAATACTTCAAAACTTATGTTAATACTAGCTAAACAGTGCAGACACTACTGCTTTGCTGCAGTAAAGGGTAAGAGCGTAGTACACTGACGAAAATGTTAACTTTGATAACTTACCAAATTCACCAACACTTGGTCTCCATATCGCTGCATCTGATCACGCATGTGCCTGGTGTAAGCCGCGACGTGGTCTTCGGGCAACAGAGTCATAGCTGGTTTGTACTTAAGATCGGGGTACTGGTTCCAAAACAGCGGTATGGACCCGCGTGTTTGGACAAATGAGGACTTTTCACCGCCTCGTTCAATGATCTGTTCCGTTTCAACGAAGTTTGCGACGTTGCCCTAAACAAAAGCATTTACAATGAGTTTTATGAATCTTATCTTCTATACATTAATATCTGAAGGAAAAACTTTGCACCCCTTTTTAAGCATAATGCACGCACAGGAGGGGGTTAGATTTGTAAAGTTTATATGCAGGAGTGAAGAAAGCTTTAATTTATATACAGGGTTATTTTACAATAACCGGCCAAATTTGCAGAGAAGATTCAGAATAAGTAATATAGGCAAATGGTGAAGAAAAATTAATTAAAAAATATATCAAACATTCTGTCCTTTTTATCTTTAAAATTCAAAATGGGTGGTAATGCATTATTATAACTGATTTTACAGCGCACGCACACATTCGTAAAGGTCGCTCGTTCGGCAGAAACTCATAAATCACATTCAATTTGGAATAATTTCAAATAAAAGTAGAAGCCTTATTTACTCGTATTTTCAAAAACGGCAATAACGGTATATCATTATCTTTATATTTGAACTTAAGTTTCAAATTTGGCTACTCTTTGATAAAATCAGGGTTATTTTTTATATTGTGTAATATATAAATTACATTTTTTACTTTCATACTGGCAATGTAAAACAATTATCATTCGGACAAATTATGTGATTTGTTGATTTTCAGACTGCCAATGTATCAGAGTAAGTATAGTATTTTATTACTCTAAGGCCAACGTCAAACACTTAATAATCTGTGACCAAACAATTGCATAGAGTACAGATTTTTGACCAAGGAATTTTAAAATGTTGCCAACAAATAATTACTCACATATTGAGCGAATGGGTTGTGAATTTAGTGTGATTTGAAATGTTACATTTTGAATGTGTGTGAAGTTTATGGCAAAAACGCGTTTACTTTATGTTTTGTATACTAAATATTTGTGTATTATATATTTACCGTGTAGTGGCGGTGTAAGAATATCCACCACCACATACAATCCCGTGGGTGTAGTAGGAGGCGACAGAGGGAAACAAAACAGGAAATGGGCAGCAGCGTCTTCCCTAATAATGACTAAAAACAAAAAACTGCGGTCGCCAACCCGCTTGGCAAGGGCAACTACATATACTGTATTGATACATTTGCTAAACTCACCTGTGCATCAACGCCACGCATGAAAAACCTCGTGCCAGCTCTTTCAACAGAGCGGCGCGACACCAGCGACCATGTCAGTTGATGACCGTTCACCGTTACTCGGTTAATAGCGACAACTGTCTCAAGGTGGTCAAGGTTATTTATGCTATTACAAATATTCAGATATCTTGAGCGATCTCTACATCCATATCTTTTTTTTTTTAAACTGAAATGATAAGTGAACTTACATTCCACCTGATGGTAAGTGGCAACTGCAATCCATTTTTCGACTTCTTAACACGAATTATTCCAACACTTTTCGAAACTTCGCATAAGTATTAATGTCTAAGCTCGTCCTAAGCTAACTGATTACCGCTGATGCAATAGACCGAAAGTAGATCAGAGACTAGAAAATTCACAACACAACCAAAGCTGAAATGATGGTTGTAACTTGTGTTTTGCACATATGTTGGTTCCGGTTGCGACTCGAACCCAGGATCCGCATTGTAATAGCCTCTGACCACTAGACAACGCAGAAGTCACATATATGCTTAAACATTCCTTAACTACAAGGTCGTAGTAGACGGTACACGCTCTGATTTCAAGCCTATCAATGCTGGTGTTCCACAAGGCTGAGTGCTATCACCAACGCTGTTTCTCCTGCATATCAATGATATGTTACAAACTAGTAACATTCATTGCTATGCGGACGACAGCACTGGTGATGCCTTATATATCGGCCCGGACAATATTTCTCGGGCAAACGTCGCCGAGTACCGGAACAAACTTGTGTCTGAAGTCGAGTTTTGCTGAACAAAGCCTCGGATTGGGGGGCGACTAAATCTAATCCAGTTCAATCCCGAGAAGACACAAGTTTGAGCGTTTACCGGTAAAAAGAACTTAGTCGTATCTCCTCAGTTTCAAGGCACTCCCCTTACTGCCTCAGCTAGCATCCGAATCCTCGGCGTCGACATATCGAATAGTGTGCAGTTTCGTGGTCACTTGGAAGGGAAGGTCAAACTGACCTCTAAAAAGCTTGGCGTGCTCAGCAGAGCGAGACAGTATTTCATGCCGGCACATCGCTTGCAACTTTACAAAGCGCAAATCCCGTCTCACATGGAATACTGTTCTCATCTCTGGGCCGGGACACCCCAGTGCCAGATCATTCCACGTGACCGCATCCACAGCAGAGCGGTTCGAATCGTCAACGACCGAGTTCTGTCTGATCGGCTCGATACACTGGCACTTCGTAGAGATGTTGCATTTCTTTGCGTATTTTATCGCATTTACCACGGGGAGTGCTCTGAGGAATTGTTCGGACTAATTCCAGCCGCTCAATTTCACCTTCAAGAAAAGAGCCTACTCCTTTTTAAAAGGCCGGCAACGCATCTGCATTTTTCCTGGTATTGCGGTTGTTCATGGGCGGCGGTAGTCGCTTACCATCAGGTGAGACGCATGCTCGTTTGCCCCCTCTCCTATAATAAAAAAAAAACTCTGTGTGCCGTGGTAAATCAGGTTCAAAGGGCTCTGTGTAAATATTACAATACACGAACGATCCAGGGTTTGACCTCCACTAGAACTAATGAAATAGTTTGTTGCAATTTAAGTACTGATTGACTACGAGCTAGGCGATGACGTAAGACATTGTGACCAAACCTGCATATCTGAAGAATAAACATATTTCGAAGACGCGAAGTGCGTCAACGAAAGAGCATCCCGTCGGATTCATTGTTCCGTAACTCTCTCAGTACTAAAAGGACGTATACTTAACTTTAATATTTTTGTTCCATTCAAATTCAGTTTTGAAATTATTATGGAAATATTATTTCATTCAAAAAGTTTACTTTTCAAGGCACATTTTTTTTAAACAGATTTTGTTATTAGCAAAACTATTACTACTGGAGTTGTAAAAGGATACATCCCTGTATGAGGGGAAGTGCAAATCTCTCGAACTGCTGATGTGAGAAATCCTTTAGCAAGTGGCCATTCCACAGGAAACGGGAATCTGCGCGACTTGCTAACGACATCTGAAAAGGATTTAAATATCAAAAGTGATACAATTCAAAAAGTGTGTGTGTGTGTGTGTATGCGAGCGTGCGTACTATATGTGTATATGTATACTTTTTATTTATTTTTTATCTGAAACCATAATTGTAGTATTATCACTGCCCATAGGTAGACTGGCAGATAAAGCTTTTAACATTAAGTCCGCCTTTTGATCCTGTACTCATTTTGATAGGTTCAATAAAGATTAAATAAATATATGTAATTACCTTGTGAAAATCAGGCGCAACGGAGTGCAGCCGTTGCATAGTATGAGTAAGATCATATCCATACGAGAAATAGATGCCGGGCGTTTCTAGAGCCGCGCGAAGTAACCTCTCGTATGTGTTGTTATCTTCAATCTATATGACAAAATAACTTTAAAAACATATTAAAAGAAGTAAAATGTTTTACACATGGATTGCCATGAAATTAGGCATGACTTATGCAACCGAGCTATGGCCCTTCAGGCGAGTTACGATTGGGGGATAAAATTCGAGTGACACTTGGCAAAACTCAAAATATCAGCAATTAAAGTGATAATTGATAGAGCCTTCCTGCATCTATATCACAGTTGAAGCGGGAATGAGTCGGCTCGACTGAAAAAGGAACACGCTCTCATAGAATATAAGCGTAAAATAGGAGCTTAATACTGCTGTGTTTTGTATGGTGAGTTTAGAGAATTGGAGACGCTTTTCACTAGAAAGGAGGCATTCCATCTTAGTCCTCAGGGGTGATAATGCATCTGAATTTTGATTCTTAATCGAGGATAGATGTAGATGTCTATGCGCTACAACATCCACTTATCATCAGTGGACTGTGTGCTCGTTTGTCACCCTTATTCTATAAAAAAATATGGGATAGATTCTTAAGTGACATTCTCGTACATAGATATAATGAGAGTATCGCTCTTGCTCTGCATGGATGCAGAAAGTCAAGCGATATATTATATATACATATAAGGCGGTGCTTTGTGGTAATTTGTAGGCCAAGCTTATGTTTAGAAGGTGATTTATGATGGGCTGACATTATGATAATGTATCATCACATATTTAAGTAAGGCTAGTGAACCTAGATAAAGAATGCAATAATGGAATTTTAATAGAACTTCTTGGAAGAGAAACTCGATGAAACTATAAAGTGACTAAAAAGAGACAAACATATACACTTATAGAATTTTTCCTGCGAGAGCATGAGATAGAATACAGTGTACAGTGTTACCTATTATCTAGGTCTCCTCTTTGTGCGGTGTTTTAAAGATGGTTAAATATAACTTTTAACTGTTAAAACAAATATTAATAATAATATTGAATAAAATTATCATATCCCATCAATTCATAACAATCCATGATTTCATAACTTGCCGATTAATATTAAATTAGTCGTACTTAGGTCGTCTAGCGTCTATTTTACGTGCCACCTTGCGATTCAATCAATTTTTGTTCGATAAAATTACTTTACCTATATAATGAAGTAGATGACGCTATTACAAAGCAATTTTACTCGAACAAAATATTATTTGATTTATTACACTAAAATTTAGGCGCCACGTGTCTAAAGGTAAGGATTGTAACATTTTTTTGCTATAAAATTAAACTTTTATTTTATACTAGCTATCCTCCGCGACTTCGCCCGCGTGTAATTTAGGTTTTTAATTATGTTGCGCGGAACCCCAATGCTTTTTCTAAAATATAAGTAGCCTAAGTTACTCCTTATAACATCAGCTATCTGCCAGTGAAAGTCCCGTCGAAATCGGTCCAGCCGTTTCGGAGATTAGCCAGAACAAACAGACAGACAGACAGACAGACCGACAGACAGACCAAAATTTTTAAAAAATTGCGTTTTTGTTATAAGTACCGTATATACTTTCATATGCATTTAGTAAAAAGCTGGTATTTTGACATTACAAACAGACACTTCAATTTTATTTATTTGTATAGATATAGATTTTATGATGCACTTGTGGTTGAAAATTATCACCTCTATACATATAATAAAATTTTAAATTGCCGGTGACTCTACATTTTATATTTTTGTGACAAAAATGAGTGAGATAGACTAAAAGTAAATAATTAAATACATTTCTATAATTTTTAAAATTATCTGTCTGTTTGTTTCTGAACATAATATTATGTCTAAAGTACACATATTATTCAAAAGAATCGTTACGAAAATCATAAAGCGTATCTTCGAGTCTTTGTTTCATCAAAATCGGTTTATTCTATTGAAAGTTATGAATATTATTTTGTAGTTTATGTACGAAAATTGTTCAATATTGGCGTTGAGTCAGAAAGTGAATTTTTATCTAATCTTAGATATCGTAATTAAATGATGTAAAATAATGTTCTATAATGATATAACTTTACCTAAAACACAGTAAACAAAAAAGGAATATGTCAATACCTACCATCTTAGAAAATGTACAACGGTTAACCAGTTTCACCAATAGATCGTGTTATGAAAACGTAATGCAAAAAGGCGAGTTGTAAATCAAATTTGTAAAAATTCATAAAATACATATTTATGATAGGTTTTGTAAAAAGTAAACGAGAACTAATCTTAGATATCGTAATTAAATGATGTAAAATAATGTTCTATAATGATATAACTTTACCTAAAACACAGTAAACAAAAAAGGAATATGTCAATATAATGTAACAGTGGTAGAGCCACGCGGCAGCTTTTGCTGTCGCACGGATGGGCCGGCTCGAACCGGGGTAGTACCACGACCTCACAGAAAACCAGCATGAAGTAGAGGTTTACCTCTGCGTTTCGCTTGGTGAGTGCAGGTGGCCGGAGGCCCTCTTTACTGGAAATGAGGCATTCCATCTTAGTCCTCACGGGTGACAACGCATCTACATATTGATTTGTAATAGAGGATAGATGTAGATGTCTATGGGCCACAGCAACCACTTACCATTAGGTGGACTGTGTGCTCGTTTGTCACCCATATCCTATAAAAAAAAAAAAAAAAAAAATGTTGATTTGTCAATTCATCACATTTCGAAAACCATGTGAGCAAATTGCTCGAAGAGGGTAGGGTCAAAAGTACTCGGATACCTAGACGTGCATGCATGAAGAAGATAATGAATCTGAAAGAAGCGAAAGAGGTTTGTAAGGATTGTGACACTTGGCGATCTGTTCTCTCTGGCTACCCCGTCAGGGATTGTGCGTGAAGATAAGTAAGTATCACATTGATCAGTTCTGCCTGGGTCAAAGCTAGTTAAGCCTAAAATATTTAGGACAAAATAGATTGCCCTAGACTAAACTAGTATATTCTAACACGCATAGGATAAACGGATCTGCCCCAGGACAAATTAGTTTGGCCTGAGATCGGGTTTGGTCAGTAACATATACATATATATACTATTGTTGATAAGTAAGAACAGTAATGTAGTAAAATATAATCAACTAGCGATTAGACCCGGCTTAGCACGAGTGATTTCTGGATCTCGACAACAACGCCAACTACCGGGTACATGTAAATTAAAACCACCCAGGGAGTCACTCAAACACACGCAAAAATTCATCAAAATCTCTCTAGTCGTTTAGGAAGAGTTCAATATAATGAACACACATACAGAGAATATATATATATAACATAAACATAAACACTCACGCCTGTCACCCAGAGGGGTAGGCAGAGATTATGGACTTCCATTTGGCACGATCCTGACACACCTCTCTCGCTTCCTCCACATCCATATACCTACGCATACACGCTCGTCGGTTAAAGGTACTCTTGATTTGGCCCATTTTTAATATATCGCCAATTTGGTCGATAAACTTTCGCCTAGGGCGACCCTTCCCGACTATGCCGTATATATATATATATATATATATATATATATATATATATATATATATATATAAATAAATAAAGATATAGAGATTAGGTCCAAACTAATAGCTAGTATTAAATAAATTATTTGTTGTGAATCTGTGAATCTGTTGAGGTATAATTTTTATTTAACCGTACGAAATTATATTTTTAACTCATAGGTGTAACACTATTGGCTGGATTCATTGGTGGTTTATGTTAATTTTAATGTACTTTGTTGTTACGCTATTTGTTGAAATATCCTACTCCTGATGCTCTGCAGTCTGCATTTGTCCCATACTCCCGAAGCTCTCTGAAGATTATACTTCTACCGCGTGTGAACAGCAAAGGTTTATTTTTTATTTAATCACAATATTTAATCTATTCTGTATTATTAAGCCTAACAAAGGCAAAGCAAAAATAAACAACAAAAAAACTAACCGTAACATCAACAACAGCGACAAGGAATTTAAAAAGTTACTAGTTGGTCAGCAGAATTTGTTCTGCCCTTTCCGTCAACCCTATGTCTTTTAAAAAATCTTTAAATTCGCAATAAAAAATGTTGTGGGCTACTTATCGAATAAAACTATTCATCTCTCAAGTTTAAACAAGCGATGCACATTTACAAAATTTCATTAAAATCGGTTGATTGGTTTCGGAGTTCACCCTGGACAAATAATGTGACATGTCATATTTAGCAGCTCAGGTTGTATCAATTTCACCACTAACTACTTTCCAATTTCCAGTACTAATAATCACCGACATTTAAAATTAGCAAGTTTACATTCTTTACCTATTTTCCTGACCTTACCTTCAATAATAATTTGCTCTTAATTATAACATAATTTCAAAACACAATGCTTTGCTTCCTTTTTATTAGATACTAATGTGTAAGGAAAAACATGAATGATGGTGAGAGACATTAGATCAACATTAGATTCATCATTATTCTCCGTCAGTTATATGCAAAATATTGCATGTATTATTGTGATGCAGCTCTCTTGAAACACAGTACAAATGTGACTTAATCACTATATGTAATATGTATTTAACATCTATGGCTGCTCGCATGCTGACTGACACATCATTCACGAAATGCTTGATGCAAAAATCAAAATGACCAGATTATCGTCAATCAGTTTCATCGTACAACTGTCAGTTACTGCATTAGACAATAGGCTGTTATGTGCAAATGATCTGAATCGGTCAAATAATTCAGAAGTTATGTAATCAGTCACTGACGAGATAATAGATAGAAATAGCGAATGAGAGACACATAGGACACTGACCTGTTTATTTGTAAGATGGGTTGTTGAACGTGCATATGGTATGATATCAGTGCCTGCTAGTTGGTAAATATCATGACCATTCAATTTCCCAATCTAGAAATAATAAAATAATGATAATACTGCAATTATAAACAAGTAAATAATTAATTGTAAACCAAGTCTGTAATGAAAAACACAGTTATACTACAACATAGATTCAGCAAAACATTTTTCATTAACATTGTTCATAAATAACTAGGCTAAGTAGGTAGATGCTTTGTGGCATTCCTTGAGGGAATTATGTTTAGCAGTGGACTTGTGAAGGGCTGTAATGATGATAATTTTAGCTTAGGTTAGGGTACAATAGGTCCATCATCATTATACTATTTAAAAGTCTTTAAATAAAATAAGAATTTGTGGCTATAAAATAATACATTAAAAACTGGATGAATTCTTACCTTAAATTTCAGCACACGCAAGTAATTGAGTTTGACTCGTATTTACCACATTTATGTCATTAAAAACATAGTAAGGAAAACTGCATGCCAGATAAATAATGCATTTCAAGGATGGCCTAAGTTAACTAGTACAATAGGATTTAATAAAAAAAATTACTTTCTTACCAAAATTCTATATTTAGCCACGACTAGATACAGTCCAGATATCAGTCTAATGGTGCCTAAGAAGCCACACACAGGTTTATATGCACTTGCTGGGATTGGAATTTTCACAGACTTAATATCTGAAAATTTAATCATATTTTTAAATTTCAGATTTCTCATATTTCTATGGTCTAAGGTTAAGATTAAGTGTAATAATTTTAAAACGTCTTGAGAGGTTTGAATCCGCCCATCAATTATTGTTGTAAACTGCTTATGGCAGACTAAAACTATTTAGTTGGATTGGAAAAAGGAACCAATATAAGTTCTTTTAAACACCTACAAACTTAACAACAAAAATAAAAATATATAACAGTAGTGGCATAAAAGAAACCATTATGACTCAAGGTCCAAAAGATCTTGTAGTCTCTGGAAGATAGTAATATAAAATAAGAAGCAGAATCAAGGTACAAGATGTATACTATTTGTAGACAACATGCCTGCCTAGTATAGGGATTATTATGTGATATTTGGTTGGTAGGTAGCTTACATATAAACAACATTACCTCTTCAAAATATTTATGTGTACCACACGAATGAGTTAGGTTAGGTTAGTTAGGAGTTGGTCAATAAGTAGATGAGGTTTTGTCTTTAGGATGTTTGTTTAGCAGAGGTGATAGACATGACAGGGATATAAAACAAAGAAGAACCGTGAGAGTAAAATTTACGCTGTAGAAATACAGTCATGAAGAAGTATGTTAGGAGTGACTCTGAATGATAAGATACTGTGTGATAAGAGATATACAGATTATAAAAAATAAAGATAAAAGTGTGCTTTGCAAAAAGATGTTGTGACCGGGATTAAGAAAGGAATGCTTTGGTAGTTTATACATGTAGAAAGAATAATTGTGGAAAGAGTGACAAAGCAAATTTATGCTGCAGAATTGAGTAGAGACTCAACAAGGAATGCACTAGAGGAGAGTTTAATGAAGAAATTATTATAGATTGCAGATGGCCCAAGATAAGAGTACCCTCAACCAATGAGCATGTATGCATAAAAATATGAACATTAAAAAAGCAAGAAAGGTGTTTCAGGATTATGCCAAATGGAACTATGTTTAAGATGACGAATATATATTGGATATGGATATATATATCCAAAGTAAGCAAAATATAGGATGATACCCAAAAGATTAAGTACCCACCTGTTTAGATATAGCTTTTTTTTTTTTTTTTTATATAGAATAGGGGGCAAACGGGCTTGCGGCTCACCTGATGGTAAGTGACTACCGCCGCCCATGAACAACCGCAACACCAGGGGAATTGCAGATGCGTTGCCGGCCTTTTAGAAAGGTGTAAGCTCTTTTCTTGAAGGTTCCTAAGTCGTATCGGTTCGGAAAATTCGCTGGTGGTAATTGATTCCACAAAGAAGTTGTGCGAGGGAGAAAACTTCTTCTAAATCGCACAGTGGTGGACCGCCAATCATCCAGATGGTACGGATGGTAACGCGAGTTATGTCGCGACGTGCGATGGTGAAATTGAGCGGCTGGAATTAGTCCGAACAATTCCTCAGAGCACTCCCCGTGATAGATGCGATAAAATACGCAAAGAGATGCAACATCTCTACGCAGTGCCAGTGTATCGAGCTGATCGGAAAGAACTCGGTCGTCGACGATTCGAATTGCTCTGCGCTGGATGCGGTCAAGTGGAAGGAGCTGGCACTGGGGTGCCCCGGCCCAGAGATGAGAACAATATTAGTAGCATTCCTTGGGGTAGGCCTATGTTTAGCAGTGGTGGGATAAATTATGATAATTATTATGATGATGTTATAATAATAATAGCAAAATCATAAAAATAATATAATAAAATATAAGTCTAGAATGAACCTTCAAGCATGCACCATTTTGGTTTTTACTTTACTTTTGCATTTTTGTAAAATATAACCAATGGTACTCTGTATATTAAAATAAATGTAGGAAATTGCACTTTAAAATTGTAATGTCATTTAGGCTGCTGGAGGTCTCAATGTAAAAGAAAAAATCATGTACATATAACAACACCTGGAGAATATTACCCTCTTTTGGGCCAGTAGGATAGAAAGAATAAGAAAGGGATATTACCTTTTACAGAAGCCTCTCCTGTAATTCTGTCAATTACCATTATCTCTGTTGGATTGATGTTTGGCTCCAGAAAGAATTTATCGGAAGTTGTATATCTATAAACATTTGCAATATTACTGGATTAGATTTAATGAAGTTCTCTAAAAAATATTGCATGTTACAATTAACACATTCTTTTAATATATGTATGTAATGTCATAAAAAATAACTAGTAGTTTTTCTGGAACAGAAACAACAACTACAAACAAATTTATTCAGAAATAATGTTGACTACATCTTTATAAGAGTAGTGTGATCCTTCCTATTCTGATATTTGAATCAAAAATGTTAAAATGGGTTGAGTTTATATTACAGGTATTGTGCAATGACTTGTATCATAGTATTTCTTGGGAGAGGCCTATGTTCAGTAGTGGACTTATTAAGGGTTCTAATGATGATAATGACATATAATGCAATTTAATTAGATATATTTCAAGATAAACCATTATTATAATATATTATATTAAAAATAACTAAACCCAAGTGTGAAAAAACAGTCTTAGTCCCATGACAATCATCATACTATTTGCCTTATGGTCATAGCTTTTCCTTTTAAATAAATAAAACAATATATCATTGATTATAATATGTATGTATTTATAACCGAAGTATACAAGGACCAATCAAAGTAGATCCCATAAATATCAAAATTTTTGCAAGATAATTGAATGGCATAAGAGCCAAATGACATACATACTAATAATTTAATTAGTTCGGGATAGTAAGAATATTCACATAATCTTGTTTGGTTTCAAAGAAAACGATTTTTCCGGCAGATGTTTGCCAACCAAATGCTTTGGTATACATGTCGATTTGGATCAGATTACACGTTAAATTTTTACTTACAATTTGATGTCATCATGAATTTGTAGTATATCTGCCATGTTTATTGAGTTTCAACACAATTTTGGTTATTATATTATTTCATAGCAATTTTTTAAGAATCTCTCAATGCCCTCAATACAATTATCAAGCACTAATTTTGATTTGACATTGACACTACTTGACCCTTGTCAATTGACAATTACATTGACACTTTTCCTTCTTTTATCCCAAAACGGACCAGCAAAGGTTGACGAGTCCTTTCTGCCTTGTCTTCTTTTATTTTCTTTTATAAATATGGGTGGACTGTAGCAATGACTTTTTATTTTTTGTAGAATAATACAATTTTTTAATTATCTACTATGTCGTCATTCCCATAACATTTTGTATTATTTTTTTATTTTGCCCTATCTGAAACGTTCTAAACTCTATAGAAAAAGTGGCGTATGAAATGATTGACAATGACTAGAATATTTTATCTAGGTACAAAGATGTTTTACGTTTTCGTGGCCTTCACACGATATTTTTCTCACCATTAGGTACCTTTTGTATCTGAAACGAACATGAATATTGCACATGTATGCGATATAAAAGTGAGGTAATGGGCTATATAAGTCCCTCTGCTGGGCACAGAACTCCTCTTATTTTTGAGAGGGTTTTAGGGCAAGGAAATGTCCGCCCTAATGGGTGTTGTTCAACTTCACGTGTTTTCGATTTTTTTTTCTTTTTCCTCCAACATGCAGCTTTAATTACGATGTTATTCTTCACCGCCGAGCACGTACTAAATCAGCACTTAATATTTCATTAGTGCTGCCGGTAAACCCTGGATGAAATTTACAGCAAGCGCTTAGACCCAGAGCTACTAATATATCACAAATAAATACGATTTAACATATATAATAAAAACTCTTACGTACTTAAAACTTAAACCTTTGATAGCTCGTGTTATCAGTGATTGTTAAATAATTAATATTATGAATTATTAAAATAATAATTATGTAATTATCGTTTTGTTTTATTTTTATTTTTTTTAATAACAAATATAAAATAGGTTATAAGTCATTGTATTGTCATATTAATTATCTTAGATAATTTTCGCACTTTATTTTTAGTTTAGAATTTGAGAGATTTGTAAAGAATATTATGTAAGTAATTTCATTTCCTAAACAATTGTAATTAATTGACTTATCTTTACTTAACTTTAAGCTTCTTAAAGCCTTATGACTATTTTATCTAGTACAAAATAAGCTAGCTGTAGTTTTCTTTAAAGAAATGGACTCGTACTGTTGCCAGTGTCAAGTATATTCAGAAATTATCCTTTGAAATAAATTATTTCAAAACTTCTTTACAATATGTTGATGCATTACTATAAAATTTTATGGAAATTTTAACAGCAGCTTGAACCAGCAGACAGACGATGACGATCCCTACCAGAAACGGGGCCTCCGGGGTTGCAGATGCTCGGGGCGGGGGCCTCGAGCATCTAGTTATGTAACCCCTGAGGAGGACGATGACTCGGAAGTGGTCTCCAGACATCGTGATAGCACTGCGAGGGTGCTGGGGGCAGCATTTACTGTCCCCGGGACGTGCTATAGGTGTAGCAAAGCGACGGAGGGGCCCCGGTTGCGTTCCGAACGGAGATCCCGGGACCCCTCGTATACGCTGATGGTGACCACAATGGGGTTTTAGCCGGTATGAGTCCGGCATAACCTTTTCGTTGCCCCCATAGCGGAAGGTATCCATGAGGATTTCTCCACGTAAAAAAAAGGTGCTACAAATCTGTAATTTGGCATAGTTAAAGATATCAATTACGCCTACAAAACTGATATTTTTATTTTGGGTACCTCCCATATAAGTAAATGAAGGATGATTTTTTTTACACGTCTATTTCATCGTGTGATGTATCGTTGGATAGGTTTTCAAAAACACTGGGGGTGAAGAACAACATCTTTTCGATTCAGGGATCATTTTGCGAAATATTTAAGCTTTAAAGTGGTCATGTGGGCCTTTCCCCTCTATCAACTAAACCGCTGTTTTTAGAAATGTGAAAAGTATATAAGATAGGAGCATATATAATAAAGTTAAAAGGAAAACTATCACAGCTAAGTAAAATTAAGAATTTAACAAGTAATTGTTAACAATTAATTAATACTTATAAGTTAACAAATAATTAATACTTATAAGATGTACTTGGATCAGTAAAAATTTCGTCACAACTCCATAGAAAATGATCTAAAACTAGTTACGTTAAGAACTTTGTAATGTTATTGTAAACTGTTAAAAATAAACATTTTATGAAGAAAACGACTTATATATGCATTACTACTATAGATTTACTTTTTAATTTGCGGGAAAGGCAGGCAGGATCTTTCTTACTTACTTACTACTTTTACTTATATTTAGTTGGTAGTTATTGCAGACCACATTCAAAGTATCCATACAATCATATGGCCTCATACAGTTTCATTCGTCACACACTTGGCTCACGCAGGAGACTTCAGTATAATTTAGGACTGTAGTGATTTACGTTGCTATATTTGCTCTAGAGTTAGCACTGGTTCTAACGCGTCTTTTTCGGTACTCCTACTCCCTAGGCGTTGTCCCAAATTCATGAAAGACAGCTTTCGCGCACCCGATCCCTAAAAAAGGTAACCGCTCTGATCCGTCCAATTATGGCCCTGTCGCCATCACCTCCTTGTTCTTGGAAATAATGGAGTCCATTATTAACTGCCAGCTTATGCGGTACCTTAAGGAATACCAGCTGATTAGTGACTGCCAGTACGATTTCCGTCGGGTTCACTCAGCTGATGATCTTCTTGTTTATCTAACACATAGATGGGCGCAGGCGATCTAGTCCAAGGGGGAGGCATTGGCCGTTAGTTTGGACATAGCGAAGCAACACAAAGCGCTTCTTTCGACGTTTCCTTCCTCTAGGCTTCCCGAGAATTTGAACATTTGGATCACCAGTTTTCTGGCTGATAGGTGCATCAAGGTCGCAGTAGACTGGGCGTGCTCCGATTACAAGCCTATTAACGCTGGTGTTCCACAAAGCTGCGTGCTATCACAAACGGTGTTTCTTCTGCATAATAACGATATGTAACCGGTAACATACATTGCCATGCAGATGACAGTACTGGTATTACACCGGCCGTGCCCATATTTCTCGGGAAAACGTTGCCGAGTACCGGAACAAACTTGTGTGAACAAAGTCTCGGATCGGGGGCGACTAAATCTAGTCCAGTTCAATCCCCAGAAGACACAAATTTGCGCGTTAACCGCTAAAAGGAACCCCATTGTCGTGTCTCCTCACTTTCAAGGCACTTCCCTTGTTGCCTCAGCCAGATCAGAATCCTCGGCATCGACATATCGAGTGACGTGCAGTTTCGTTGTCACTTGGAAGAGAAGGCCAAATAGACCTCTAAAAGCTTGGCATGCTTAGCAGAGCCCGACAGTATTTCATGCCGGCAACCTGGTGCAACTTTACAAGGCGCAGGTTCGGCCTCACATGGAATACTGATCCCATCTCTGGGCAGGGGCTACCCAGTGCCAGCTCCTTCCACTTGACCGCATCCACCGCAGAGCGGTTCGAATCATCGTCGACCGAGTTCTTTCCGATCGGCTTGACTCACTGGCACTGCGTAGAGATGTTGCATCTCTTTGCGTATTTAATCGCATCTACCACGGGGACTGTTCTGAAGAATTGTTCAGACTAATTCTAGCCGCTCAATTTCATCATCGCACATCGCGACAAAACTCGCGATACCATCCATACCATCTGGATGATTGGCGGTCCACCACTGTGCGGTTTAGAAGATGTTTTCTTCTTCGCACAACTTTTCTGTGGAATCGATTATCACCAGTGATTTTTCCGAACCGATACGACTTAGGGACCTTCAAGAAAAAAGCCTACTCCTTTTCAAAAGGCTGGCAACGCATATGCAATTCCCCTTATGTTGCAGTTGTTCATGGACGGCGGTAGTCAGTCATTAGTCTCCTATAAAAAACTGCACTGCTGGAAATATATAGATAGATAGTCAACTATGATCATCTTTGTACTTACTTGGCACGTGAATGATTTCATGTAATTTGTATAATTTTCAAAATGGAAAAGTTTTTTTTTTAAATCGTTTTGTATAATCCCTCCCTATAAGTCGTTTTTAAAAGTAAGCCCTTCAGTTACCATCTTCCTATTTGGGCCCATTTTTTGTCGTTATAGCTGTCAAACCGCGAACTCACTTATTATTGTCATTATCAATAAAGCCCACATATTGTGACGGGTAACTACGGAACCCTACCTATACATCGTGCGTGTTCCGACATGCACTTGACCAGTTTTTCCATAAGATTTTTGCCTTTCTTTCATTCTATAGCGCAACTGAAATGTACCATTAGCAAAACAAAAAATGTTGTCCATAAATCCATTTGGTCTACTCGTATGATTTAGTAAAATCAAGGATTATAATTTATCAGGGTATAATACTTATTATATCATTGATCGTTAATTAAAGCTACGAACATCTTACAAAAAAAAAAAAATCGGGATTTCACAATATTGTGGAAAATTAAAGTTTTACTTTGAAAAGGTTACTACGCAATGTATTTAAATTCAGCCGGTATATTTTTGTCAAATTATCCTTAGACTTGTTATGAGTTTTACAGGAAATAATAACTGTACATATCGCACCTTTATTTCAAAATCGTTACAATACAAAAAAACTAAATTTTGCAGGAGAGGTAATTTACGATTTTTGTATGACTATTTACCTCTTAATAAGAATGAATGAACACATTATGAGATATTTCTTAGATTATTTGTTAAATAAATGGTTTCTTTTTAAGATGTGTACTCATTTTAATTTAATATATTCTATAATTATTTTTTATAATCATTTTAATTTTTATAGTAACACTTTTGCATTAATTATTTTTTTCAATTATGGTTCAATTATATAAAGTTAGTATAAGAACAATGTTACTATATTAAAAATAGAATTCTAGCTATTATATGAACTGTTAAATACTTATATTTTACAGGTAAACAGGTAAATTATGCACAGGTCAATTAAAACAATAATTCAAATATATATTTATTCAAAAAAAACTAAAAATAGTACTTTTATGGCAATTAAACCAAAATGTTATTCCTCAAACATTAATCTCTTACAATAATAAATCAATCAATGTTTCTTTTGCATTTACGTGTGCAAGAGGTACTCACAGTTGGCTGTTGAATTGGACCAACTTCTTGCAAACCTCATGAATCCTTGCCTGCTGAATTGAATTAAATTCTTGCACTACCTCGTGACTCAAAGCTGCGACATGTACTTGCTGCACACCATTATCATGTTGAAAAGAAGAGCTAGATAAAAATGTTGATACACGTTGTGTAGATGCAAATGGTTCTACGTAGTCAGGGTCGTTATCTGCTTTATCAGGAGAAAAGTCCTTATTTCATCGTAAAAAGAAAGCAAAAACATTTACAACACACTCAAGAACACAACAAGAATAAATTAGGTATAACTTTAGGTACCTACCTGAAGATTTACTAGATGATGACGATGAAGATGTGCTAGTTGACGAAGATGTACCAGAGCTAGAAGAATCAGACCTTGGTGTAGACCACACATTACATCCAGAAAATGAGATGATGCCGGTGATATCTATGAGTGAAACTGGTTTGTTTGTGATAACGACAAAAAATTGTCTATACGTATATTTAGCTAAAAATATGGATCATAGCCATTATCACTTAATTTCAAAAACAACTCACTTGATCGTACGAATCAAACTTATTAAATTAGTATAAGCTTCGCAGTTTGACCACACAGTAGTTTTTATATACTGGAACTGTTTGACGCATGAGCAAATTATAGAGTTTTGTGAATAAAACAGAAATCACGATAGACTGTATGGTAGTGTATACCTTTGCCTGCTTTAACTAGCGAATCGTAACAACAACAACGTAAAAAAACATGTGTTTTTGAAAGGTACTTAACCTTAAAATCAAATTATTTACTGATGATTAATAATAGTATTTTACAACATAAATTTGTATTTTTAATATTACAATGTTAAGTAAAATGGAAGTCCCGGGATATCCCGGTCTTATCAAAACTATTAAAGAAGGTGAAGAGATTGAGAATTTTTCCGAAGAATCCGACATTGAAGAAGAGGTTTGGCCGCATTGTTTTTTTACTCATAATCAAACATTACAGTAATTACATACACCTCATAATGCAATTACTGCATTCAAGTTAACCTTGGTCAATTCCCGGACATAATACTCCTCCGGGTGGTCAAGTAACCGTAGCGGTACTAACAACTACGAATGCGACGTCGATAACCATAATAAAATAATGGCAATTGCACATGCTTAGCGTTGCCAGGCATCCGGATAAAGCCTAGAGATGAGTCGTACTAGGTAAATTTTGTATTAGGTACACTTAGTCCAATTCCGTAATATTCCGTCAAATATTCGATCCAAATACCTTTTTTTTATAGGATAGGGTGACAAACGAGCACACAGTCCACCTGATGGTAAGTGGTTGCTGTGGCCCATAGACATGTATATCTATCCTCGCATCAAAATGCAGATGTGTTGTCACCCGTGAGGACTAAGATGGAATACCTCTTTTCCAGTAAAAAGGGTCTCCGGTTCTCTACACTCACCATACGAAACACAGCAGTTTTAAACTGCTATTTTACGCTGGTATTCTGTGAGAGCGTGGTTCTTCCCCGATTGAGCTGACCCATTCGTGCTTCAACTATACTACTAATATAGCTGCAGCATGGCTCTACCATGTATATATACCACGGCTATACCTGTTCCACCTAGTCCATGAAGTAAGCATAAAGTTTGAAATTGTTGGAATAATTTACACTTTAAACTATGTTTAGTCTTTACGTACAACCGATTTATGAAGGTAATTAATAGAATGATCCATTCATACTTTACATAGGCTTAAGACAGTCAATGTGAAGATTTAGCTACATTTTATATTATTGGCGTATAAGTTTCATTTTTAGGCGCAGTGAGACTAGGTGGATCGTCTTTTAAAAGTTCGAACAGGTGCAACCTAGTCTCGTTTAATACCTAGTGCCTGAATCTGTTATAGTATATAAGGTTTATCTCTAATAAAACTGGGCACAGTCAGGCTTTTCGGTTGATAGTGCGGCCAAATTAGTCAGTGTCCGGCCTGTCTGGCTTTCGTTAGGCTTTTTATTTTTGACCATTTTTTACATTTGTCATGTATTCGTTTCAGCTTTGCCCGCCTCACCTTGTATTGTTAGCGAAAAATTACTTAATATTAATTACTTTTTGTTACCATTAATTTAAAGTTTATTTAGTTCATTAGTGTTTTGTTTAATTTTCTTTTTCATTGAAAATTGCAGCAATAGTAAGTAGGTAAGTAAAGTAAATAATGATAATTAAAAAATGACTGGTTCATCAAATTGAATATGTAATTTCAAAAAGGGCACATCTCTCATATTTTGATAAATACGTTTTTTCATACCAATGTGTTTTATATGCTCTCATGTATCTATTATGTTCGAAAAGGGAACATCTCTGGTATTTGTTCTGCTGTCAATGTTATAGAGTGTACAAAAAAAAAATTAAAAACCATAATGTCTTTTGTTGTTTTTGTGATATGAAACAACAAACATACTGGATCATCCTTCAGTCATTGCCATAGATAAATCAATATGCACTTTAAACTATAACTAAATAACAAGCTAGTCATTGCGTTGTCTGAAGCTAGTAAACATGTACCGTTGCGCTTATACAATGACTTCTTCTGATTCTTACAATGAAATTCCGAAAAAAAAGAAGACTAAGAAATACTGAGAAATATAAATACATTGTCATTGTAAACTAATGGCTTGATTAAACAAATCAATTCCTGCGGAACGAAACATGAACAAGATATTTATCTTCAAAGTATGATCGAGTTATCTATATCTAAAGACACCTTAAAGCGGGCCAACAATCTTGCAAACAAAAAACATAAAACAATTGCAAATATTATGTAGAAATTCGTACTGGAATGAAATTCCCCAATAAAGTATTTTTACGGTGGTAAAGCCACGCAGCAGTCTTTGCTGTTGCACGTATGGGCCGGCTCGAGCCGGGTTGGTACCACGACCTCACAGAATACCGGCGTGAAGTAGAAGCTCTGCTTCTGCGTTTCGTCTGGTGACTGCAGGTGGCCGGAGGCCCAATCCTCCCCCCCCCCCCCCATCAACATGGTAGCGGAATTACACAATAGACTACCCCAGGAGGGTACCAGTACCCCTGGAGAATCCCTCGCTGAGCATCCACGACCATGTTATTCCAATCCTGAGCGTGGGTGCTCAGGCTGCCCCGCGTATTCTGGGGGGGGGGGGGGCAAAATTCCGCTCAAAAACATAACTGCTCGGGGCAAACTGAGTAACAATACCAAGGCGACCCATGCCACGCTATCCGTGAATTTCTGCAACATCAAGGGACTTCACTCTAACCTAAACGCCGTCCACTACCATCTCGAGACGGCGAAGCCGGCCTTGCTTTTTCTGACCGAGACGCAGGTTTCCTCTCCGGCTGATATTTCGTATCTCTCCTGCCCGGGGTACAATTTGGAGCACTCCTTTGTGCCTCGGGCTGGAGTTTGCGTGTATGTCAGAGAGGACATCTGTTCTCGACGCCTCGGCAGTCTTGAAGGTTCGGACCTGTCCATCCTTTGGCTACGGGTAGACAGCGACGACCATCCGCGCGTCTACGGGTGCCTCTATAGGTCCCATAGCGGTAATGCCGAAACAGACCGACTCATCGACCACGTCCAAATGGCTACAGATTCCATGCTACAACAGGTCCCATCCGCAGAGATCGTGATCCTTGGCGATTTTAACGCCCACCACGCCGAATGGCTCGGTTCACGTTTAACCGATCATGCGGGGAGATCTGTTTATGACTTTGCCTTGGCATATGGTCTGACACAACTGGTTACTTTGCCTACGCGGATTCCAGATGTGGAGGATCATACACCTTCCCTGTTGGACCTTCTGCTGACCTCTCATCCGGACGGATATCAGGTTTCCGTAGATGCCCCTCTCGGCTCTTCGGACCATTGTCTGATCCGGAGTGTGTTGCCACTCACGCTCCCCTCGCGGTTGCTTTTTGCAGGTTGCCGCCGTGTTTGGCATTCCAGGTCGGCGGATTGGGACGAAATGCGGTCTTTCTTTGCTTCCTACCCATGGGGGCGGGTTTGCTTCTCGCCGGATGATCCCAGCGCTGTTGCTGACTCTGTCACTGATGTGGTGCTACAGGGAATGGAACTATTTATTCCATCATCTGTGGTACCCATCGGAGGCAGATCTCAGCCTTGGTTTGTTCGCTCCTGTAAGACTGCATTACGCAGTAAGCAGGAGTGTTATCAAGCCTGGGCTGCGGCTTCGGTGACTCGGGATGTAAACACCAGCACACTTAAAAAGAAGTATAACTTCGCCTCCAGGTTCTTCAAAAGAGTTATTACCAAGGCAAAGTCAGAGCACATAGGCAGAATTGGCGAGAAACTAGTTCGCCTTCCTTCGGGAACCCGTGCATTCTGGTCTCTCGCCAAGGCTGTCCAAGGGAATTTCTGTAAGCCATCACTACCATCTCTGCACAGGGAGGACGACTCACTGGCCCAAGACGCAAAAGACAAAGCTGACCTTTTAGGCTCCCTCTTTGCATCCAACTCGACTCTTGATGACGGGGGGAAAACACCGCCGACCATCCCGCGGTGTGAGTGCTCCATGCCGGATGTGCTGTTCTCACAGCGCTCGGTTCGCAAAGCACTTCTCTCCCTGGACATCCAGAAGTCGAGTGGGCCTGACGGAATCCCCCCAATTGTGCTGAGGACGTGTGCTCCGGAGTTGGCACCGGTCCTAACGCGTCTTTTCCGGTACTCCTACTCCCAAGGCGTAGTCCCGAACTCATGGAAGACAGCTTTTGTCCACCCGATCCCTAAAAAAGGCGACCGCTCAGACTCGTCCACCGTCCAACTATAGGCCTATCGCTATCACCTCCTTGTTCTCCAAAATAATGGAATTCATTATTAACTGCCAGCTCATCCGGTACCTTGAGGATCACCAGCTGATTAGTGACCGCCAATACGGGTTTCGTCGGGGTCGATTTGCTGGTGATCTTCTGGTCTACCTGACCCATAGATGGGCGGAGGCAGTAGAGTCCAAGGGGGAGGCGTTGGCCGTTAGTCTGGACATTGCGAAGGCCTTCGATCGGGTTTGGCACAAAGCGCTTCTTTCGAAGCTCCTTTCCTATGGGCTTCCCGAGAAATTGTGCAATTGGATCACCAGCTTTCTTGCAGATCGGAGCATCAAGGTCGTTGTAGACGGTGCATGTTCTGACTACAAGCCTATTAACGCTGGTGTTCCACAAGGCTGTGTGCTATCACCAACGCTGTTTCTTTTGCATAACAATGATATGTTGCTAACTGGTAACATTCATTGCTATGCGGATGACAGCACTGGTGATGCTCTATACACCGGCCGTGCCAATATTTCTCGGGAAAACGTCGCCGAGTACCGGAACAAACTTGTGTCTGAAGTCGATTCTTTGCTGAACAAAGTCTTGGATTGGGGGCGACTAAATCTAGTCCAGTATAATCCTCAGAAGACACAAGTTTGCGCGTTTACCGCTAAAAAGAACCCCTTTGTCGTATCTCCTCAGTTTCAAGGCACTACCCTTCTTGCATCAGCCAGTATCGGTATCCTCGGAGTCGACATATCGAGTGACGTGCAGTTTCGTGGTCACTTGGAAGAGAAGCCCAAATTGGCCTCTAAAAAGCTTGGCGTGCTCAGCAGAGCGGGACAGTATTTCATGCCGGCAAACCGCCTGCAACTTTACAAGGCGCAGGTTCGGCCTCACATGGAATACTGTTCCCATCTCTGGGCAGGGGCTCCCCAGTGCCAGCTCCTTCCACTTGACCGCATCCAACGCAGAGCGGCTCGAATCGTCGACGACCGAGCCCTTTCCGATCGGCTCGATTCATTGGCACTGCGAAGAGATGTTGCATCCCTTTGCATTTTCTTTCGCATCTACCATGGGGAGTGCTCTGAGGAATTGTTCGGATTAATCCCAGCCGCCAAATTTCACGAACGCACATCGCGGCAGAACTCCCGATACCATCCACACCATCTGGATGATTGGCGGTCCACCACTGTGCGATTTAGAAGATGTTTTCTTCCTCGCACGACTTCCTTGTGGAATCGATTACCATCAGCGATTTTTTCGGACCGATACGACTTAGGGACCTTCAAGAAAAGAGCGTACTCCTTTTTAAAAGGCCGGCAACGCATCCGCAATTCCCGCCCTGGTGTTGCAGTTCTTCATGGGCGGCGGTAGTCACTTACCATCAGGTGAGCCGCATGCTCGTTTGCCCCCTCTTCTATAAAAAAAGTATCAATGTTTTAATGGAAATGAGGCTTTCCATTTTAGTCCTCACGGGTGACAACACATCTGCATTTTGATTTGTAATAGAGGATTGATGTAGATGTCTATGGGCCGCAGCAACCACTTACCATTAGGTGGACAATGTGCTTGTTTGTCACAATTATCCTCTGAGAAAAAAGATTATGTCAATAATTTTATTCCACATTCAATAACTGATCTTCATCTTATTTGTGATGGCTGCCCCGAACAAAATAAGAACAATACTGTACTACGATTTTTGATGGCTTTATTTGTGCACAGAAATATGATGATCTATCTATATTTTGTAGTATGTGGCCACTCTTTCAATGATTGTGACAGAAATTTTTCAATTGTCGAAAGGAAAATTAGATGCGAAGATTGTGGTGTGTTCACTAATCAGCAATATATTGATCTTATAGTACAGTCCAGTAACATGGAGAAATTTAATTTTGTAAAATTAGATACAGAAGACTGTTGATTTCAAGATATGGACTCAACTAAATTTTAAAGCTAAACCTTTAACAGTTATGGAATTGGCTTATTATGAGATTGTTTTTGATCCAAAAAAACCTGTTGAAGTAATTGCAAAAAATTTTATAGATAATGACATCTCTAAGGAAACTCGTTATTTCTAGAGTAAAAGGTACTTGCAGTAACTTACCAAGCCAAGCTAATCGAGCTTATAACGCAAAATACCTATTAATCATCTGAAAGTTGCAGATATTGCAAAGGTGAAACAATATATACCGGCAGAATTTACAGAAATTTATGTCAAAATACTGCAATGACCAACTTCAAACAAAAGAGAGCTTCCAAAAGAAGATTAAAAAAAAGTCTATAATCTTTAATTTAAGTATAATGTTAAATTTTAAATAGGTACCTAAAATAAAAGTTTTGCCAAATTTATATGATTTTTTTAAATTATGTGAACTCCGTTAGTTTTGAAAAGGGCATATCTCAAAAATTTTAAATATATATATATAATATTGTTAACATCAAAATATCTTAGTAACTTCCGATTGCTAATTGGCCCCAAAATGTAAATCAAAATATTTTTTTAAATATCATAGCTTTTTTTTAAATAGTTTTTTTTATTTCTGAAGAATTTAAATTTTCAGAGATGTGCCCATTTCGAAATTGTATATTCATTTTATTGTTATTTCGTAAGAATCTAAGACGATTTTAATTAGAGTTTATTTTTAAATTTGTTTTCCATTGCAAATTGCAATAGTTTCTGCTCACTATTATTGCAATTATTGAATATAATATTGTAATGAATATTGAATGGTTAATAATTAAGGGGACTGATTCAATCAATTTTATTGTTTGAATTTAAGAAAATTTTATGATCAAAAAGCCGTTTTAATTAAAAAAAAAATATTGTGCTAAGACTAAATAATTATAACTTTTAACAAAAAGTAAAAACCCACTTCAAATTGCTTAAAATAAGTTATTTATTTGATACCCTTAGCGATGGAATTTTTTCTCCAAATTTATATGGGACAACTCTGAAAGTGTAATATAAAACACTCTTATGTAATATAAAAAAAATCATCAAAATTGGTTCACAATATGCGAAAATGTCGCGTAACATACATACAAAAAAAACATACACTCGAATTGAGAACCTCCTCCCTTTTTGAAGTCGGTTAAAATTAATCTGTCTGTGCACAAGCGCACACCCTTGGTCTCTGCAACATGGTTGAAGAGAGATGAGGTGTAAGGCCAAAGGCTTTGCCTACATGCTTCGCAAGTTAGGGGCACAGCTGGGCCAACTTCCTGACTGCTATAAAGAATTTATATTTAGAACAACCGAACAATAGATTTTGGTTCGACCTGGAATTAGAATTCGGGACCACATGATTAGTAGTTCTGCTTATGACCACAATACCAATAAAGCAGTCAAAAATACAAAATTATTGGTTCCGTTCATAGTGAAATTATTTTTTAAATATCTCTGACAAAATAGGATCTAAATTTTATTGTAATGTAACTAGGGATCTGCCCCGGCTTTGCACGGTTGATTTCTGGATCTCGACAACAACGCCATCTACCGGGTCCAATTGTGAATCTAAACCAGTCTCTAATCAACTTAATCACACACACAAAATTTCATCAAAATCGGTCCAGTCGTTTAGGAGTTCAGTCACATACACACAAACATAGAAGAATGATATAATACAATATGCATGCATTATACATAATATAAACCTTCCTCTTGAATCATTCTGTCTATTGATGAAAACCGCATCAAAATCTGTTTCGTAGTTTAAAAGATCTAAGTGTACAGACAGCGGGAAGCGACATTGTTTTATATTTATGTAGTAAAGCCTTAATGTGACAATAGGAATGTACATATATTTTTTTCTAAATAAACTGAAGCATACTTTTGTTATTACAGTTTCAACCATCAAAACAAAAAGTGAAAAGGAAGGCAGACTTTGACCCAAAATTTCAGTTTGTTGCATCAGTTGAAGAATACAATAAGGTAAGTTAAAGGATAAATACATTTTATTGAACACAAATTCACATAGTTATTTATGTGAAATAATTTAAAAGCTTTAAATTGGATTAGAAATAGCAGTTCCAATGTATTCCAATTGTTAAGATTCTTATTTTACGAGACTGGAAACAAGTCTCCAGACTGAGGTGACCTAGATGTTTTGTGATGATATTTTTTATTATTAGGTTTTTTTTTTTATAGGATAAGGGTGACAAATGAGCACACAGTCCACCTGATGGTAAGTGGTTGCTGCGGCCCATAGACATCTAAATCCATCCTCGATTACAAATCATAATGCAGATGCGTTATCACCCGTGAGGACTAAGATGGAATGCCTAATTTCCAGTAAAAAGGCTCTCTGGTTTTCTGCAGTCACCATACGAAACACAGCAACGTTAAGCTGTTATTTTACGCTGGTATTCTGTGTATTTTACTCTGATATAGAATAGTCAGAAATAGACTATTTCAATAATTCATCTTGGAATAGTTTATTTACACTATTTCAATATACTTAAAATATTTCAATTTTTTTGTCAGTTTATACTTCTTAAATATATGAGCCAAAAATAACCGACAAAGAAGCACAAGATTCATTGGCATTAGGATCCCAAAATTAAAGAAAAAATATCTTTTTCCTTTAATTTTTCTTTCAGAGATAAATCTCACAGACAGGACAAATCCCTATACAGCTTGATTAATACTAATTGCATTATTATTAATCACTCTTAACGATTACGACAAGATTACACGATTGACAAGTAAGTTGCAAGATCACCTCTGTCGGAAGGCTTGTTGGCTACAGTGTAGCACTGCCTTAATTGATTTACAAAATTATAAATAAAAAAGTGAAGAAATTATATTAATTTTTCTCTCTATATTCTCTTTATTTAGAATCCTTGGGACAACTTACAAAAGTATGTGCGCAGAAATGTTAAGCACACCTTGGATGAGAAAATCGCTAGAAGGAGAGCCCAAGTGAAGGTAGCTGGTAATAGTGAAGATGTGGACACTGACTCCGAGACAGAAGCTAAAGGTTTGTTAACATAATGCATAATGCATGTATTTTTTGACTTATTTTATTTTATAGAATAAGGGTGACAAATGAACACAGTTCACCTGTGGCCCATATATATATCTACATCTATCCTTGAATACAAATCAAAATGCAGATACGTTGTCATCCCTTAGGACTAAGATGGAATGCCTAAATTCACTTATTCAGCCATCATGTTGTTATTAACTATATTGACTGTCTTGTTGGTGTAGTAAACGTGACTACTAATCATGTGGTCGGTAGAATTCCGGGTGAGGCCAAAAGAATTCAGTTATTGAGTAGTTTTCTATCAAGAAATTTTCAGAAGCTTACCGGTGTTAGGAAGTTTCGTGCCTCGAAAAAGCACGTAAACCCATTTGTCCTGTGCCTGATTTCACTTTGGTCGTGTTGGTTAGCCGTCCCATCGGACTATAAGAGTGCACCTGTGCTTGCGCATAGATTCGGGCAATCTAATTTTGTCTAACGCAGATGGTTAGTCTCTTATTATAAGTAACGGCACCAAAGTCTAGCGGTGACCGTTATTGCGCATAAGACGCGCTGATTGGCTCTCCGTGCAATTCAATTCGTGCGCGTCCCCTCCACGTTTCGTTCTATTATTATGAGCTACAACAACAGTTGATGAACTTTAAATTTTAATACCTTGGAAATACTATTATTTTCCCATCTCATCTTTTAAGAGGGTAATATTCCAAATTCATTTCCATGTCAACCACCATTAATTATATATATTTTAACTAGTCATGCTATGCGCTTGGTGTGATCTTCACTGTGACCAACCTAGCCTCAATCTCCATTGGCAATCAGTGAAATTGTTAATTGCAATGTTAAGTGCTCTTTTGCCACATGCTCGGCGGTGAAGGAAACCATCATAAGAAAAACCTGCATATCTAAGAAATAAAAAATTATTCCAAAGACATGGGAAGTCAGCCAATACACACTGGAGCAAGGCGGCGGACTAATCTATACAAATAAATAAAATTGAAATGTCTGTTTGTAATGTCAAAAAACAGTTTACTAGATGCATACTACACACTACAATTTTTTTTTTAAATAAAAGTAGCCTGTAGTATGACAGGCTACTTTTATTTAAAAAAAAAATTAGGGTTCCGGGCAAAAAAATGAAAACCTATGAAATTCATCAGCCTTAATAAATTTCTCGCGGGCGAAGTCGCGGGGTTCAACTAGGTGTTCCATAACCCTATCAGGAATGAGATGGTAAAATACGAGTTTTGTGGTTTGTTGTGTAGAATGAAGCAATCTAATTTTTATAAATCTTGTATATTTTCTGAATATAGGTTTGTATTGCTGAAATTAAAGTATTGTTACATTATTATATTATGCTTCAAACAGATGGTGATGTTGATGAATTGGAAATATCAGATGATGAACTGAAAAAAGATGATATCAAGACGAAAGAAAAGAAACTCACTAAAAAGCAGAGATTAAAACAGGTAAATATAGCCTAACCTAGCCTTGCGCATGATGTTAATTATTGAATGATGTGCACATTATGATTCGTTATATTATTCCAGGAACTTGAAGATGACGAACAAGGTGCCCGCGTGGAGTATGACTCTGATTTCTTCGAGGAACCCCCTCCATATGATGAGCAAGCATCATTCTACATGATGAATCTCTCCCGTCCCCTACTGAAAGCAATTGGTTTGCTAAACTACGTCCACCCCACACCAATACAAGCTGCTACTATACCTGTTGCTTTATTAGGTGTGTTCTTTTTATTTACTCTACATATCTTAATGCATTTGACTGATGAAAAATTTTCACTGCAATAACGCATTTTAGAAATTATACGTAATGGAATTTACTTCTTGGTTTGTGTAAACTGGGAGATATTCTGAAAAAAAAACTACATTAATTATCCTACCCAGGCGGAGCCGAAGCGAATCGCTAGTGTACAATATAAATTCTTTTTTTTCCCCAAAGGATTAAAATATTAAAAGATATATAAATGTTAAGAATAAGAAACACATGTTTTTATAATTACAGGCAAAGATATATGTGCGTGCGCGGCAACGGGCACGGGTAAGACTGCGGCGTACATGTTACCTATTTTGGAGCGACTACTGTACAAAGCTGCAGGCGGAGACAGGGTTACTAGGGTATTGGTACTGGTACCAACTAGGGAGCTGGGTGCTCAGGTGAGATATGAAATTATAATTATAAGAAACTTTTTATTTCCATTTATTTATTTTTTTAAAAGAACTCCAAAGCCTCTGAAGTCGTCGAGGTTTAACCTTAGCAGTGTTGATTGTTGAGAATTTGTTTATCTATAATATGAAATCTCGAGAGCAGCTAAACCGATTTCGCTAATTCTTTTTTTTATAATATTGCTTAAAGTACGTGGTTCTTACGAAGAGAAAAATTTAAAAAATTGCCTGAAAAAGTCTAAAAACAACACTTTTCTATATTCCCATACAAAAGGTTCGTAATAATACTTAAAAGTCAATTTGAACTTTAATACCATACTATAAAGTTTAAGTGTTAGTGGAGGTGTTCCGGGAAGGCAAAACAATTGAGTGACGTTAGTATTGTATAAATACTAATGTCAATATTTGTCAATTAGAATAAGTAAAAACAAAATGAAATATAATAAGAAATCAGAAATTGTAATTTTCATTGAGATTTTTTTGTCACTATTAAAAGAATTGTAATGTAATTGTTGACTTATCAACTTTCTTTATACTTTTTTTATCTTACTAGCTGACCCGGTGTCCCCTAACAGCAGAATAAATATTTAAAAAAAATAAAGAATCGACTTTAGGCAGTACGAAGTTTGCCGGGTCAGCTATTAGTATATTATTTAGTATATTTTTAAGTGTTTGTCAAAATATAGTTTCTTTTCACAACCGTTTGTGAGGTAGAAATTTCCCAAATGGAATAATAAGTTATTTATCTATCTACCTAGCTAGAGGTAAGAAAAGTATCACTATGTTACACAGCCACATCACCTATAAATAGACCATAGTGCAACGGCCTGTTACAAAAGAATATTAGTTACCTTATAAACTTTCTCTGTTACTGATTATTCCCTAATCTTTCTGATGCTACAACATTTCATTGCATTTTGTCATAAATAACTTTTTGCTGTCGTTCACAATTTTACAGAACAAAGAAGAATTTTGTTTTACTTGCTAGAAATCAGTTGGACTATGTTGTCCAAAAATGATCCAACTCACAAACTGGCCAAAATTGATGATGAAAATGATCCAGCGGCTCTTTTTTCACTTTACTTTCTAGTATGAAAGACCTGAAAAATAACAAGTAATCCCAAAATCTACATTCAATTGTCTTTAAAATGATTTACATAACATGATATAAAAGGGCATCCGCCACAAGATAAATTAATTATCTTTCAAATCTGAATAACTACGTTTTTGTGGCTTTCACACATTCAGTCTCCCTTATGTAGATCTTTGTTTACCTCAAAATCAACCTAATATTTCTATTTTTGATTGCAGGTCCACGCCGTGACAAGGCAACTAGCGCAGTTCACGTCAGTTACAGTTGGTCTATCAGTCGGTGGTCTGGATGTCAAATATCAGGTACTTAATATTATATTACCTTACTGTACCTTTATTACCTACCTTCCTTATTTACTTTTTTTTGCACTTGACTCGAATTGTCATGAGTGTGCAGATAATAAAAGTTAATAAATAAAAAATAATAAATAGTTGCGAAGAGTTTACTATCAGAAAAGTACTAATTTATTATTATTTATAATAAAATAAAATAAATGATTATTAAACTACACAATGCCTTAATCCACACTTAAGCTATTATGTGCAAATTATTGTATTCGTTTTAGTTTTTTTTTAAAGTCAACTGTCATTTTTTATATTAAAACATTAAGTTTAAGTTTTTATAATCTGAGTAGTGTATAAAATACTTGAACTAGAATTCTGCTACAGCAAAATAAACTTATATCACATTGTTTGTATAGGAGAGTGTGTTGCGTCGCAATCCGGACGTGGTGATAGCTACTCCAGGGCGTCTGATCGACCACATCAGGAACACGCCATCGTTCAGCCTGCACTCCATCGAGGTGCTTGTGCTGGACGAAGCAGATAGGTCTCTTCATTAAATAATTTCTATTGCCTTACAGGTTTGATACCTTAATTAAATTACTGCTAGATGATTTTTATACGTGGTAGAGCCATGCTGCAGCTCTATATCAGTAGTATAGTTGTAGCACGAATGGGTCGGCTCGACCGGAGAAGGACCACGCTCTCACAGAATACCAACGTAAAATAACAGCTCAATGCTGTTGTATTACGTATGGTGGGTTTAGAGAACCGGAGACCACATTTACTGAAAAAGAGGCATTCTATCTTAGTCCTCACGGGTGACAACACATCTGCATTTTGATTCATAGTTAAGGATGGATCTATATGTCTATAAGGCTGAGCATATACTTCGAAGACAAGTGAAGTCTGCCAACACGCATTGGGGTAGCGTGGTAGATACTCCTTGACCCATACCCAAAATGTACGCACGGGTTTCTATATGGCTCTGAGTTTGTGTTATACAAGATTTAATATTTTGACATTTGTATATTTTAATTTTATTTTGCTCTTTTAGAATGCTGGACGAATACTTTGCGGAACAAATGAAAGAAATCATCCGACAGTGTTCTGCCAAGCGTCAAACTATGCTGTTCTCTGCTACCATGAGCGATGAAGTCAAGGATCTTGCAGCTGTCTCTTTGAACAAACCGGTCAAACTTTTCGTCGACTCCAATAAAGATGTGGCTTTCAATCTACGGCAAGAGTTCGTCAGGTAAGGTGCTGATATGTGAAAACATGTAAAAATTCAGTATATTGCAGTATCAAAAATAAAGCGTTATCAGACAAAGAGGTAAAAATAATGTTTTAATGTGATAGGGCCATGCTGAAATTATATTACAGTGAGATTTGTCCTACACGGATGATGATAATGGATCGGCTCGACCGGGGAAGGATCACACCATCCTCTCACGTAGAGAGAGTGTAGAGAACCGGAGAACCTTTTTACTGGATACGAGGCATTTCCATCTTAGTCCTCAGGCATGACGATGCATCTGCATTTTGATTCTAATTCGAAGATAAATGTAGATGTATATAGGCCACAGTATCCACATACCATCAGGTGGGCTGTGTGCTCGTTTTTCATCCTAATTCTTATAAAAAAAGACCATCTAATGGACAGCGAAAATCATTTATGTTTTGTTACGGGTGCATGGCATACTGCATTGTCCACTCTTGCTAAGTCTCGTATTAATTGTTCACAGGATAATGTTAATAAAAGAAAGTGAGGGTATTTTAACTATTTCTACCTCCTTTAGCTCAACTCCCCACTAAGTTCACACATGTGTTAAACCTCTGAATTATGTCATGTTCAGAGGCACTAAAATTCGTAAAAGTGCAGTTATAAACTTTGAAGATCTCGTTTAAGTTTTCGAAGTGAAACTTCTTTAGAATCGTTGTGATTTTAAACTCGACGTAACGAAAAAGCGACACTAAAAAGATACAAACATATATTTAGCCTGCGAGAGAATGAGATAGAACACAGTGTAGTAAGCGACAGTAGCCTAATGACAGGGTACGGACCGCGAACTCAAAAGGTTGTGGGTTCGAAACCGCCATTCGACTGTTGTCGTGAACCACTCCTATCACAAGCACTTTCAGCTTACCAGTAGAAGTTAAAGAGAATATTAGTAATATTTGTAGCATTGCTAGTATTTTGTTAAGAAATACAGTGTTCCTATTAGGGATGCCCGATCTGAATCGATTTTCTGGAAGATCGATTCACGGCCATACGATCTGCCGATTTTTGAATCGATTCAAGGGAATGCGATCTTCACCCAGATTGATTCGTATGGCTATAAGATCGTATGAAAAAATCGTATCAACTAAAACCTAAACATCAACCAAACAGAAACGTCCTAATCGTATTGCCAGGGAGGGGACAGAATTACTAAAACAAAGTTCTTACTTTGTTTTAGTTACTGTCTTACTTAGTACCTACACATTAAATGAGAGTAGATTCGAGTTACATCTAAAATATGTGTATGAAATATGAGTGTAGGTATGATAATATTTTGTTTATTTTATTATGGGGCAGTAGTAGATAGCTGGAATTCATAATGTAAAACCTGTTTTATACTTTTCAAAACTAATTATTTGGAAAACTCACTGGATACCGTAATAGGCATTGTTAAAATAAATAATTATGCATGCATACTGTGCTTGCCTTTATTTTTATAAAATTATAATACGATTTTCCGAGATCGAATAAGATCGATTCAATACAATACGATTAAATCGTGAATCGATTCACGAGGTTACGATCCAGAAGATCGATTCAAAACAAAAAATCGGGCATCCCTAGTTCCTATTATCTCGGTCTCCTTTAAAGATGATTAATATAAATTTTAACTATTAAAAACAATATAAAAATATAACTAATTATTCAAATAAATAAACTTAACGATATATATTGAATAAAATTATTTTAATATACCAATCAATTTATAACAATGCACGATTTCATAACTTTAGGCCATCTAGCGTCTATTTTACGTACTACTTTGAAAGTCAAAGCAATTTTTGTTTGGATAAAATGAATTTACCTATAAAATGAAGTAGATGGCGTTATTACAAAGCAATTTTACTCGAATGAAAATATTCTTTTGATTTATAGCACTTAAATTTAGTCTAAAAATAAGGATTGTAACATTTATTTGCTATAAAATTAAAGTTTTATCTATTTTATGCCAAACTTGTAGTTGAAAATTATCTTATTAAATATCATTAAAATATTTTTATTTTGTATTTCATTTCATTTGAAGGTTTCACTTCAAATGAAATGAAATATAATAAAATGATATAAAAACATGTTTTTTTTAAAATTATTTTTCCTAATTTCTTTTTCATTCATTTTTCCTTTGTCGTTGACATAGTCCTACGTAACTATTAGTAAAAGTGAAATAAAATGTTTTTGCATTTTTAATACCACCTATAATACCTATATAGATAAATATCTATTATCAAAATTATGAACAATTATTGCCCTCATTTTGCTACTATTATGGCCGTTGCCTGCCAAAAGGTTGTCGACCGCTATTATAGACTACTCACATTGATTAAAGTGAGTTTTTATGTGCTAAAATATACTATAAAATAATATAAAAAATTAAATTAGTTAATCAATTCTTCTATTAGGATTCGTAAAGAACGTGAGTCAGATCGCGAAGCGATCCTCGCTGCGCTCGTATGCCGTACGTTCAGAGACCGGGCTGTTATATTTGTTCAAACCAAGAAACAGGCGCACAGACTGCACGTTGCTTTGGGGCTGCTCGGCATCAAAGTAAGCATTTCTTTTTTTATTTATTTTTCAAAAAGAATATTGTCGAAGGCCTCATTGGGGTGTGAATGAGTACATGTACGTCACACATCCTGCTAATAAATGAACGAAGCTATGGCAACTGACAAATCCTTTTCCGATTCATCTTTTTAAATCTATTGCTGGACATGGACATCTCCCGTTGTATGGAGGATTTGTCACAATCTTCACGCTTGGTAGACGGATTGACGATCGTAGGGTCAGAAATCTCGCACCATTGACTGTTGCTCGTCACCAGTGTGGGTATTTTACGCCTGGCGTAAATGACATGGTTTAACTGTCATCTGTCGGATGCCATAAGATTTTTCTGGCATATCCCATAGTCGACTTTTACGACACCGCAGGACATGCGTACACCTACCATTTATTTTAATATATCTTCCGGATGCACAATTTGCTTTAAAAGAGGTACAAGGTTTTCTCTTCACGATTTAATGTATGGTTACCCGAAGCAAGTGTGACAGTGTTAAACGCCATCTATTGAACAGCGCAGGAACTTTTACGCTATTGACTATACCGATAGTTAAGTACATAGCTTCAACTATTTTATCGACAGACGTCATTTTTTTAAAACTACTCAGAAAACTTGCCCCATGTGGGGAAAAACTCATTGTTACACAAAAATGTATCATCCTTTCAATTTTGTCGAAAATCACAGATAATAATAAAGTGACAACAAAAAGAAGCGTACTCTACACACTTGCCTCATTGATGGGGTAAGTGTGACAGTCTTCCACCTCAAATAGTTTTAATTACCTTAAATTACAAAATGCTACTTGTACGAGGGCGGCACTGAAAATTTCGGGAATCAAGGAAGTGATACAACATTACTATTTAAAAATGTATTTATTGCTTTTCGAAGTATTCTCCGCGAAATTTGACACATTTTTCCATACGATGGAACCAATCATTGAAGCAACCATTCCATTCGGAAATTGGGGTCCCAAAATGGCCGTTTTGTAGGCATCCACAACTTCTTTAGGTGATGAAAATCTCTGTCCACGCAATTTATTCTTTATTTTAGGGAAAGTATAGAAATCATTAGGCCTTAGGTCGGGGCTGTACGGCGGATGGTCTAATAACTCTATGTTTTCTTGCTCTAAAAACTCTTTTGTTCTGTGTGCGGTGTGAGAACTCGCATTGTCGTGATGGAGGATGATGCGGCGGTTGCAGTTCTCTTTACGGAGTTCAGAAACGACCTGTGGCAAACAAATGCTAGCATACCATTCTGCATTAACCGTTCTTTGTCCCTCAAGAGGAATAGTCGTAACATGGCCGGTTTTGGAGGCAAACGTGGCCACCATTTTTTTTTGCAACACTCCGTGAACGAACAATTTTTGTTGGCTTTAACTCATTTTCGAACACCCAAACTCGTGACTGGTTTTTTGTTTCGGGTTCGTACGCGTATATCCAGGATTCGTCACCTGATACGATGTTGTATACAGCATTTGAGGATCCTGCGTGGAATCTTTCGAGAGTTCTGACGCACCAAGTAACGCGAGCCGCTTTTTGCTCTTCACAGAGCGAATGCGGTATCCATCGGGAAAACAACTTTTTACACCTAATTGTTCATGCAAGATTATTTGTATTTGACTCATGCCAATGTCTAAAGTTGCCTGAATTTCGCGGTATGTTACATGTCGATCTTCCTCAATCAGCTTACGCACAGCATCAACGTTTTCTTGGGTGACAGCAGTTTTTGGACGACCTTGACGGGGATCATCACTGAGCTTGACACGTCCACGTTGAAATTCAGCAAACCAACGATAAATTGTGGTTTTGGATAGGGCTTCATCACCAAATGCAGAAATCATCCGGTCAACACACTGTTTTTGTGTTAAACCACTTCGAAAGTCATAATAAATCATCGCTCTTGAATTTTCTCGAGTCAATTCCATTTTCTCAACGACTAAACAAGTTTGACAAAACCTTGTGACAAGACCGAGAATCTTTTTTTAAATAAATAAACGGTATTCGATTTTTAAATCCAAGGAGTTTTCAATTAAAAAGATTTTAATATGACAGGAACAGTGGAAATATTCCATTCCCGATACTTTTAGTGCAGCCTATGTAGATACTAAAATGCTTGATCAAATAAACAAGCACTTAATAATAGATGTTATGAAACTGAATTCTCCATGTTAAATCCTTACAGGGTAGAAGTATTTAAATGTCCATTATAGTATATACATTTTAATTAATTTATGTCACACTTGCCTAGAGTGACCATATACATATCTTATTTTCTGTTACAAAATATTCATCATCATCATTACAGTCGACAAGTCCACTGTTGGCAAGAAATGCCACAAAGCACTGTCCTGTGCCCTACAAAATAAAAAAATAATTTAAAAACTATCCCACTGACAATCTAATCCCATAAATGTTAAAAAATTGCAATCCAGCTGGGATACTTGTAAGTTTCTTTCGTCCTTGTTGTTGTTTCTAGGTAGCGGAATTACACGGGGCATTAAACCAGCCTCAACGTTTGGACTCGCTCAAGAGATTCAAAGAGGAGCAGGTCGACGTGCTGGTGGCTACGGACGTGGCAGCTCGTGGTCTCGACATACCCGGCGTTAAGACCGTCCTCAACTTTACATTGCCGGCCACGTTGGAACATTATATTCACAGGGTAACTTTAAAAATTGTTATTCTTACATACATACATACATATAATCACGCCTCTTTCGCGTAGGGGTAGGCAGACACCACTTCTCTCCACTTGCTACGATCCTTACATACTTGTTTCGCTTCGTCCACTTTCATTATTCTCTTCATACATGCTCTTCGGTTTAGGGTGCTCTTGATCTGGTCTTTTTTCAAGACGTCCCTGATTTGATCTAGAAACGTCCGCCTAGGGCCTAGGCCCTTCCAACACTTTCATTCACACTAGCCTTATACACTTTTTTCGTCGATCGTTCTACATTCATTCTGTCGACATGGCCAAACCATCTCAGCATACCTTTCTCATTTTTGTCACTACATCTTCTTTCAGACTGAATATTCTTCTAACAATCTAATATATAAAAATTAATGTTTTTTTTGTTCGTACTTTATGCGCTGCTATACCAATCATCAGATTGCGGTAAACTTTGTCAACTTATTGCTTTCACTTGCGTCAAGGTTATAGGCATAGTACAACTAACTTACAGTAGGTGGCGCGCGTATCCTACTGACAAATTTATTTGAAAGTTATATATCATTGAACTTTGATAAATGTATTATCATTCCAAATTAAACAATAACTCTTCCAAATTTAAAACGACATTTTCACAATTATTTCTTCTGTGGCAACAACGCGCCGAGTACGGGCTAGTGAAAAATAAAAACCGTGTAGTGGCGGTGTAAGAATATGCACTGCCCCATATCGATCTGTGGAATTAAAAAAAATAAAAATATCAGATTTAATAATAGATTTCCCATGTGATGTATTGTACATAAAGCGTCGCGCACACGCAAGCGGCTGTCGATGGCGGCCAGTTGTATTCAATTGCAATGTGAGTCTGCAAACCCGTGCGCCCATATTACGTATGATACTTCACACCGTGATCACAAAAGCATTAGGATTAAAAACAAAATATGGGATAATATTGCTGGATATAATAATAAGAGTAATAAGATTTCGTCACGGTTAGCCATGTAGACTGACGTACGATCGTAGCCCAGACACAGCGAATGGCGCTTCAGGCCGCCACTCCGGTCGCAGCGGTATTTTATTGCAGCGACTGGAGCTGCGGGTCGCGGTTAACCGCTACCACAAGCCGCTTGTGTGTGGGAGACGCATAAGGAAACTGTAATGGAATATTTTCTGAATCTTATATTGTGGAAGCTGTGCTATGAATCACTGATTGTAATAAATATTAGTTTCACATTTGTGTTGTGAAAGCTGTGTTATGCTTAATTTATATTAGTTTAATATTTTGTAGAGTCATTTATAAATCATTTAATGTTAAAAAATATTACTTTACCGTGTTAAAATTAGTTGCCGTATAGCAGAATATACGGCACATCTTCTCGTCAGGTATACCTCAAAACTTGAAAACGAGACTGTACAACCAGTAGTTGCCAGTGATGACATATGGAACTGAGGTGTGGTCCTTCACTGCTGGCCGGATGAGGAAGCTCAAGGTCGCTCAGCGAGCTATGGAGAGGGCTATGCTTGGAGTTTCTCTGGGTGATAAACTTAGAAATGAGGATATCCGTATTAGAACCAGAGTGACCGACATAGCCCAACGGATTAGTAAGCTGAGGTAACTCGAGGTAACAGAGGCAGCCTCGTACCGGCAGGCGAAGTGTAGGGCGTCCCCCCTCTAGATGGAGTGATGACCTAGTAAGATATGCAGGAAGTCGATGGATTCAGATGGCTCAGTACCGTGCTTTGTGGCATTCCTTGGGGGGAGGCCTATGTTCAGCAGTGGACTTGTGAAGGGCTATAATGATGATGATGATGATGATAGCAGAATATCCACTATCCCATATCATTTCGTAGGTGTCGTAAGAGGCGACAGTGGGAAACAAACCGGGAGATAGCAGCAAATTTTTTATATCAACTAAAAATAAAAAGCCCTTAACTACTATTTCACCTGATGGTAAGTGGTGATGCAGCCAAAGATGCTTAACAATAGCTTATTCACTCTTGCCTTGAAGACATCCATATTGTAGTTGGATGGAAAAGCAGATGCTGGCAACTTATTCCACTCCTTTGCTGTACGTATGACGAAAAATGTACCAAACCGTTGGGTTCGAATGCGTGGGAAGTCAACAACGAAAGGGTGGAAGTCTGGCCAAACGCCTAATTGGTGGAAGGGATAAAGAAAAATTAAGTTATGCAATTTTTGCGCACACACTCCGAAATGCATCCTGTAGAAAACCAAAAGGCTGGCTACTTTGCGCATCTATTTGAAGCTGGTGAGATTGGTTTTAAACAGATTCGGGTCATCAATAAGCCTCTTAGCACGTTTACCATTAATTTCAAAGCTACAAGGTGACATTTTGTGGTACCAGCCCATATATGGCAGCAATACTCCATGCACGACTGGACTTGCGCTTTATAACATGTATAGACTAAGCAACTGTCCAGGTGAGAAAAGGTGAATTAATAATAATATAGCCGCGTATCGATTATGCGCTCCAAGAGGTCGAACATTGGCGCGCGCTCCAGCCGCGTGTTCAATTTGTTCGTTGGAGCGCTCAAACGTGGAGCGGGCCGCTCCATCTGGTGTCGGTTTTTTACCGGGCATCAAAGTAGTTTAAGTATTGGCGCGCACGCCAGTTGGCACGTTTGTTTTCATTATTTGTGTGTTCGTTGCGTTCCGACTTAGCTAACCAAGTTGCCGTAAATTAATACAATAATATAGTTTAAAAGATCTGCTTTGGAATAGCAAAAATAACTTTTACCATAATAAAGCGCTCAGAGAAGACGCATAGAACTACAAAAGCGGCAGCTGTTCGTACACGACCGACATCCATGTTGAACGGTCAAACACTAGAGCGACTGCCGCGCACACCAGGTGCGCTTAGTTGATAGACTTGGAACACTTTGGGCGCGTTCCACGGAACCTACTGGTCAGCGCGGTCATGCCTGGCGCGCGCCTCAGGAGCGCGTAATCGATACGCGGCTTTAGGTACATATTTTTTAATTTAGGTGGGTAGAACGGCGCGAGCAGGGCGCGCTGGAGTGTCCGTGTCGCTGGCGGGCGAGGGCGAGCGCGCGCTCGTGAAGGCGATCGTGCGCCGCGCCCGCCGCCCCGTCAAGTCGCGCGCCGTGCCGCCCGACATCGTGGCCAAGTACCGCGCGCGCCTCGCCCGCCTCGAGCCCGAGATAGGTGAGTCACTGGCGTCCGCTCGCAACCGCTCGTGCCGCCCGACATCGTGGCCAAGTACCGCGCGCGCCTCGCCCGCCTCGAGCCCGAGATAGGTGAGTCACTGGCGTCCGCTCGCAACCGCTCGTGCCGCCCGACATCGTGGCCAAGTACCGCGCGCGCCTCGCCCGCCTCGAGCCCGAGATAGGTGAGTCACTGGCGTCCGCTCGCAACCGCTCGTGCCGCCCGACATCGTGGCCAAGTACCGCGCGCGCCTCGCCCGCCTCGAGCCCGAGATAGGTGAGTCACTGGCGTCCGCTCGCAACCGCTCGTGCCGCCCGACATCGTGGCCAAGTACCGCGCGCGCCTCGCCCGCCTCGAGCCCGAGATAGGTGAGTCACTGGCGTCCGCTCGCAACCGCTCGTGCCGCCCGACATCGTGGCCAAGTACCGCGCGCGCCTCGCCCGCCTCGAGCCCGAGATAGGTGAGTCACTGGCGTCCGCTCGCAACCGCTCGTGCCGCCCGACATCGTGGCCAAGTACCGCGCGCGCCTCGCCCGCCTCGAGCCCGAGATAGGTGAGTCACTGGCGTCCGCTCGCAACCGCTCGTGCCGCCCGACATCGTGGCCAAGTACCGCGCGCGCCTCGCCCGCCTCGAGCCCGAGATAGGTGAGTCACTGGCGTCCGCTCGCAACCGCTCGTGCCGCCCGACATCGTGGCCAAGTACCGCGCGCGCCTCGCCCGCCTCGAGCCCGAGATAGGTGAGTCACTGGCGTCCGCTCGCAACCGCTCGTGCCGCCCGACATCGTGGCCAAGTACCGCGCGCGCCTCGCCCGCCTCGAGCCCGAGATAGGTGAGTCACTGGCGTCCGCTCGCAACCGCTCGTGCCGCCCGACATCGTGGCCAAGTACCGCGCGCGCCTCGCCCGCCTCGAGCCCGAGATAGGTGAGTCACTGGCGTCCGCTCGCAACCGCTCGTGCCGCCCGACATCGTGGCCAAGTACCGCGCGCGCCTCGCCCGCCTCGAGCCCGAGATAGGTGAGTCACTCGCGTCCGCTCGCAACCGCTCGTGCCGCCCGACATCGTGGCCAAGTACCGCGCGCGCCTCGCCCGCCTCGAGCCCGAGATAGGTGAGTCACTCGCGTCCGCTCGCAACCGCTCGTGCCGCCCGACATCGTGGCCAAGTACCGCGCGCGCCTCGCCCGCCTCGAGCCCGAGATAGGTGAGTCACTCGCGTCCGCTCGCAACCGCTCGTGCCGCCCGACATCGTGGCCAAGTACCGCGCGCGCCTCGCCCGCCTCGAGCCCGAGATAGGTGAGTCACTCGCGTCCGCTCGCAACCGCTCGTGCCGCCCGACATCGTGGCCATGTACCGCGCGCGACTCGCCCGCCTCGAGCCCGAGATAGGTGAGTCACTCGCGTCCGCTCGCAACCGCTCGTGCCGCCCGACATCGTGGCCAAGTACCGCGCGCGCCTCGCCCGCCTCGAGCCCGAGATAGGTGAGTCACTCGCGTCCTCTCGCAACCGCTCGTGCCGCCCGACATCGTGGCCAAGTACCGCGCGCGACTCGCCCGCCTCGAGCCCGAGATAGGTGAGTCACTCGCGTCCGCTCGCAACCGCTCGTGCCGCCCGACATCGTGGCCAAGTACCGCGCGCGCCTCGCCCGCCTCGAGCCCGAGATAGGTGAGTCACTGGCGTCCGCTTGCAACCGCTCGTGCCGCCCGACATCGTGGCCAAGTACCGCGCGCGCGATAACAACTCAAAATAATATGAAACTGGTTACCAACCCGCCTTACAAGCGTGACAACTATGGAAAAATTCTCCCTATGGAACAATCTATGGAGGAGACCTATGTTCAGCGGTGGACTTTTATAGGCTGTAATGGATGGATGGATGGATATATAAATCAACACAATAATCCTAAATTTCTTTATAGCTGCTATACTTGATGAGGAGTATGCAGAAAAACAACTGAACAAAATGGAGAAGCAAACTGCTAAACTGGAGAGTAACATCAAGAAAGAGAATGGACCTCAGTTAGAAGTAAAGCGGCAACATGACTGGTTCCAGACGCCTAAAGAAAAAAGAGAAGAAAAAGAGAGGCTTGCATTAACTCGTCATCCAGGAAAAGGTTAAATATGCATTTTTATTAAAATTATTAAGTTATTGTCTTTTCACAAAATTATGGTCATAGCTTCATTTTCCTGGAATAGTGACCGCTTAATGTTCTTTCCTAACTATGATAAGGATATGGTAATCTATCGAATAGCACTTTAAAGATATTATTTTTTACTAATATATTACTTTGTAATACAAACTATTTAGTTTACTTAATAGTTTTACCTGGCAGACGTTGTTCTGTCTTTTTCGGTAGGAGACGCAATGAATTTTACTCCGAATTCACTTATAGTTTAATAACATACAAAATTTATTAATAACTAGCTGACCCGGCAGACGTTATTCTGCCCTTTCTGGTTGGTGCCGCGAAGAGTTTATTTTCACACACACACACGCTTTTTATAGATTTATTATACGTAATATCTAAATCCTCTTAAGGACTAATAGAACCGTTAGCAGCCATAATGAAAAAAAACTTAAAAAAAGGGAAAACATAACCCTTTTTTACTCTTATATGTTATACACGAACATTTACTATCTATGTACAAAATTTCATGGAAATCTGTCCAGTAGTTTTTGCGTGAATCGTGAACACACATTTTTTTCTACAGATTTATTATATGTATAGAATAGATAATATTCGTGTCCTCCAGACCGAATTTTTGTCACGGTGGCCAGTTTTAACGGAGACTTGCCATCTTCGTAGGATAGAGTATAGTGCGTGTGCGTGTGCGTTTATTAATAACTCGACCACAGAACTACCTATCGGGTCTAGATTTTGTGATTTTCGTTTTTGGCACAAGCCAACATATTATATTATGAGTCGTTTTCGTCTATAAATAGAGAATTTGTTAGTAATACTAAAGCACTATCTGTAGGATTCTAACCTCTATGAACCATGATTTAGACAATAACATTTTATTTGTAATTTTTTTGCACAATCTTAGACAAATCATTTAGAAGTTTTCATTTTACAAAACTATGAGGTCATACATAGCTAGCATATCTTTGCTGGGTGGTGAGTGTGGGATTTATCAATAAACCCCTTTCTTCTCTAATCAGTTTAGGGTAATCTTTTGAAGAGGATTAATGATGACGGTATAAAGATCTGTTATTATTTTTTGTTATGTAATGTTTATTTTATAATACAACAGAAAATCTCAAAGGCAAAGGGAAAAAGCGGAAGCGCGACGATGATTCCGACGATGAAGACAGCAAGAAAAAAAAGAAAAAGCAAACTAAGCACACACCTAAGGACACAGCTGAGGAGAGAGTCAGAAGGGAGATGGAGAAGGTAATTTATTTCCTCATTAACAATTTGACATAGGAATGTTACCTATATATTGAATTTAACATTGAAGATAGGCCTCCCCCGTAAATTGCCTCATAGAGTAGAAGTTGCCACGCTGCGCGGGTGCGTTGGCAACTACAGTTTTTTTTTGAATATTTAAGTGTAATTATCAGGAAAATGCTGCAGCCGATCTCCTGTTTTACATTACCTTCTGTCGCCTCTTAACACCCACAGAATGATACAGGGTAGTGAATTGTCCTCACAAAGCAATTATTTGATGGCCCGCGTCGGAAAAGTAGACAGTCGTTTTTGGACCCGCTAGAAATTTTTACGTAACTTAATTTTATTACACATAAAAATATACCAGTTTATTATAGTAAACTGCCTAAAGATTTTATGAAAATTTAACCGGAATCATGAAATCTGAAAATAAAAAGAGGTGTGATGTTCTGGCTAACGTAATATGAAAAAAAATGAGTGTAACGAACAGGGGTATGAAAGTCCTCAATAACTTGCTTTTACGTTGATACTAGCGCCATCTCATAGGCACCAAGACACTACATAGGTTTTACACATTTTGTTCAAGAGATGGCGCCACTACCAACATTTATATCATTTATTATTTATTTCAATAAATAAAAAAATCAGTTATATTTTATTGTAAATGCTATAATATTTTGGACATAAGATATAGCCAGCGGTATAATAATTCCCAATAGCTGGCTTTTACGCTGATACCAGCGCCATCTCACAGTCATTAAAAGCACTATTTTCCCCAATATTTTTACACATTTTATTAATAAGATGGTGTTCATGAGTTTTCACAATTATCATGCACTCCTCCACATTTAGGGCAGATATTTTTAATTGACTTGCAAAACTTTTTTATATGGCCAAACTTCCAGCACCCAGAGCACTGAGTAACTGGAAATATATACTGGAGACCCTTTTTACTGGAAAAGAGGTATTCCATCTTAGTCCTTACGGGTGACAATGCATCTGCATTTTGATTCGCAAATAGGTCACAGCAACCACTTACCATCAGGTGGATTGTGTGCTCGTTTGTCACCCTATCCTATAAAAAAAAATATATCTTTGACTTCAATTCTACAGCCATAAATGGATATAAACGAAGATGCGAACGCGTTTTCAAAACATAGTCTTACTGTTTCACTGTCTATCCATTTACCTCCTATGTCCATGCGTTGTAATCTTTTGCCTGAAACAATATGATATGTACTGCTGATGTTTTGTAACGATTCCTTCTCATTGATTTCCATTTCTATCCCCCTTATTATTTCCATACGATAAATGACTTATTTCTTTCTTCTGAGCCCTTATATCTTTCTTATAACTTTAAAAGGGCTTTTGTATTTAATTTTAATTACGTTCGATATCTTTTCATCCCTTAATAATTTAGCTAGGGCCATTTGCTTAGGGAGTACTTGCAAACCAAATAAGCTCACTTCAAATACCTAGTTAAAGCTGTCTTCGTTACTTATTATATTTTCATTATTATCTGCAGATTCACTTCTAATAAACCTTTTCGGCCTTCCTTCTTGTTACAGTTTCAAACTCTTTTTCACTACTACCTTCTCTTTCCTGCGGTCTTTTCTCAATTATTTTTTTGAGTCCTGAATCAGCAGTGTTTGCACGTTTGATACTTCTTGCAAACCCAGAATTATCACAATAAAATTCGTTCTCGTCAGTTATTACTTAAAAGTGGGTAGGTTCAGATACGCTCGCAGTACCGAGTAGCCAGTTAATGACTACGTGCGCTCGCCACAGCGTCTCGCGCGCGACTGTAATAAAAACTTAACATGTAACATTTTGCGTGAACCGAATGTGTTATAATCATTAAACAATAAAAAGAGACTAGGATCATAAAGATTTTGTGAACAGAAGAATTTTTAAAAATTAATTCATCATCATTACAGCAGCCCTTCATAAATCCACTGCTAAACATAGGTCTCCCCAAGGTATGCCACAAAATTTAATATAATATATATATATATATATATATTATTATTTAATATACATTACATACATTTTCAAATAAGTAACAGTTTCCAAAAAAGAACAAAATGTCATAATAATGTACTAACTGATTGCTCTGAAGATTATATTGATTGATGTACAATTTTAAACTAATAATTTATTATGTGTTATCATATGTCTGTAATTCTAAACTTCATTGTCTAGGACATGCCTACACCCAGCACATGACTTTTTGTACTAATTTAATTATTTCGTGTTTTAAATTTAAAAAAAATATGTGCAGTTGTTTGTTGTGTTTCAAAGCCTGTATTTTAAATGATCAGGTCGCATTGCTCCAGTCGAGGATGGCCAAACGTAAGAAAAAGCAGCGTAGGATAAGAGCAGTTGAGGACGACGATGATAGGCCACAGTTTAGAGGAAACTCTGCGGCGAAAAATAAAAAGAAACAGAGCAATTTCGCAACTGATTTAACTGATACATCTAAAGCAGCCACAAAACGACTCCGGTATGACGCAAATCGTATGCAAAAAGGAAAGGGATTACCGCAGAAAAAGGGTAAGGGTCCTCTAAAAGGGAAAGGTCCAAATAAAAGCAAGACATTTGGAAAGCCGCAAGCACCAAAGCAAGGTGCCCGAAAGAAAAATAAAAAATAAACTTTAATACCTATATCTGTAATGTCTTTTATTTTAAATAAATTCAAGTTTAGAAATCTAACATCATAGTATAATAAAATCAATAAAGTAATAAAGAGATAATTTGAAAGCCTTTTTATACATACATACATAAACACTCACGCCTGTCACCCAGAGGGGTAGGCAGAGACTACGGACTTCCATTTGGCGCGATCCTGACACACCTCTCTCGCCTCTTTTACATCCATATATCTACGCATACACGCTCGTCGGTTAAGGGTATTCCTAATCTGGCCCATTTTTAATGTATCGCCGATTTGGTCGATAAACCTTCGTCTAGGGCGTCCCTTCCCGACCCTGCCGTTCACTTCTGCAACATAAATTTGCTTTGTCACTCTTTCCTCGTTCATTCTTTCTACATGACCAAACCACCGAAGCATTCCTTTCTTAATCCTTGTCACAACGTCATCTTGCAAACCACACTTCTCTTATCACACTATTTCTCACCCTGTCATTCAGATTCAGCCCTAGCATACTCCTTAAGGAACGCATTTCTACAGAATTTATTCTACTCTCATGCTTCTTCTGCCAGACCCAACTTTCACTACCATACTTTAAAGTAGGGACTAACACAGCATTATGAATTGCCATACGTGCCTTAGTTGACACATTCTGACTCCTCATAATAGCATGTAGAGCCCCATTCACTCTATTTCCTGCGTTCACTCGTCGTTCTATATCCTTATCATATCTACCATCCCTGCTAAATAAACATCCCAAATATACAAACTCATCCACTTGCTCAATCAACTTCCCTTCTATTCTTATTTCACATAAAGTTTTACTTTCTTCTCTTTCAAAAACTATCACTTTCGTCTTACTTGCGTTCACTTTCATACCCCTTTCTTTCAATGACCAATTCATTAAAGTAACCATCATTTGCAACTCGGCCGCCGACGATGCAAATATGACTTGATCATCGCCGTACAAAAGGCATTTGACGGTTGACTCACCCATTCTCAACCCACATTCTTCAACTTTCAAAGTTTGCAAACAACTGTCCATAAATAGGTTAAACAGCCACAGGGAAGCCACACATCCCTGTCTGACACCTTTATGAATGCCAAACCAGTCCGAGTAGACCCCGTTGATCCTGACACAAGCACTAGAGTCCCTATAAAGAGACCTTAATGCCTGTATCAAGCCAGCGCTCAACCCAAATGAGTTCAGTGTTTGCCATAACACATTCCTGTCCACTCTGTCATAAGCCTTTTCCAAGTCCATGAACGGACAAAAAACTTTCTGGTTTTTGGCCAAAAACTTATCCGCTATCAAGCGCATGGAAAAGACTTGATCCGTACACCCCATCCCCTTTCTAAATCCAGCTTGCACATCCCAAATTTTTCCATCAGTTTCTTCCATAACTCTTTCAAATAACACCTTAGCATACAGTTTACCCACAATGCTAAGCAAGCTGATACCACGGTAGTTTTTACAGTCCTGCTGCGACCCCTTTCCCTTATATATTGGGACTATAACGGCTTTGCAGCAGGCCTGCAACCACACCCTCACCAGCCCTTAGCATTTCGAGTGATACTCTATCATATCCGGCTGCCTTACCTGCTTTCATGCTTTTCATTGCTTTCATTATTTCATCTACACTTATCTCCCTACCTCTCTCCACTTCTTCCGGAATTTCTATTTCACTTATTTCAGACGACTCTTCACTCTTAAACACGCTTTCAAAGTATTCCTTCCATCTCTTTAAATTCGAAACTTCATCATTCAGCATGCAGCCATTCTCGTCTCGTATAGCATTCATTCTAGACTGTTTTGAATTTTCCCTGGCAGTTCTTACGAGCTTCCAGAACATTTTAATATTTGCCTGGAAGTTATCAGATATCCTTCTATCATTTTTATCTATCCTTTCTTGCTTTTTCCTTTCAACAACTTCTTTTACTCTCTTCTTTATACGTCTAAAGTCTGCCTTTTTTCTTTCAATCTCATCATTCATACCGCCAGACTTACCAGCTTTAGTTGCTATTAAATCTAGCCATGCTCTCTTCTTTGCTTCAACTTCCATCCGTACCTCATCATCCCACCACAACGTATTACTTTTCCTTTCATTCGTTCTCTTACTTACACCGCATACTTCGGTGGCTGCATCCACCAAAACTTTCTTAATATTATTCCATACATTCTTCAATTCTAAATCATTCATACATATTTCATTCAACCCACTTATATTTTCCCTCAGTCTGCTTACTATATACATACTTCTACATATATATATACTTCTCTTTCACACCTTCATCTTGTAACCTCTCTATTCTTATACGCTGTAACGCAGTGGTAGACACCGATGTCCGATGCCGCCAACGTCTGAATAGACCATTAATTCGGCATAAGACCAAGTAATGATCCGTCCCTACGCTGGACCCCCGGTTTATATAATGGTTTAATTTCATAATCCTTGCGCTTTATGTACAAGAAACAATTTTGAAATAAGATTGATAATAGTTATAAAAGTAGAATTTAATATTTATAAAGTAGAATCAAAAAGCTTACGTAGCGATTCGATACGTATAAATTTTATATATAGCTGGCATACAAAATTAAAAAGATCATTGTTTACATTAGCGCATGCCAGTATCGGGCGACCTTCGGTTCGGGACCCGAACGGTTGGCGCGTAAAAGAAACACTGGCCTTGCGCTATTGGTCTCATTTCATAAAATTCTCTTAAATACTCTTAATTGTGGTTTATTTGAGAGTTTTTGATTGAAAGTGTTTCCAAATTGTGTTGTGATTGGCTGTAAAATTGAATCATACTCAAGTTTTGGCAAATCTTTGCACAGGTAAGAGAATTCTGTTTTAGAGGAATGGGTGCCTTGAACCTGAACTTTGTGAACCTGACTAAAAAGAAACGAAAAAGCCTGATAAATTATGAATGAAGTCAAATTTGATTGCTGTTTTGTGTTATCTATAACCCGCTTTAATTAAAAGTAATTGTGCGGGACAAGTGAAAAGATAGTGATAGGCCAATACGTAAATAAGACAAGCATTTTATGTTATATTAATGGAATAAATATTATAGTTTAGAGTTTATACTTAAATAGGATATAATCGTTTCATGTTATGTTAAATGAATAAAGATTACAGTTTAAAGTTACACATAAATAAGATATAAGCATTTCGTGTTATGATAAAGAAATAATAGTTTAGTATTTATACTTTGTATAGCAGAACTAGCTTTAATGTAAACAATGTAACGTTACTCTGCAAGGTGGTCACTTAACATCGTCACTTGCTCTGTCACGCCTCGCGCTGATTGGTCGACGCCATTTTCACGATACTTACACCGTATGTATTGACCCAGCCGAGGTAGTATAAAAGAGGGGCGATTTTCGTCATTTTACACAGTCGGCGGCCATCTACCTCAAGAAAAACATCGAATATAGAAGAAAGAAAATATCTCAGCGGTTTTATTCTCCACCAACCCAGCACACAATTGTGCCTGTAGGGCACATTTAATGTTCCTTCGCCAGCCGAATATTGTGGGGAATAATTACCTGAAGACTTCAAATAGTTTTCGGAACGAAGATTTCTCGGAAATCGTTTTCAAGACTCACGTTTTTCGAAGAAAAAAGTCAGCTGACAGCATGATCGTTACGCGCTCTGAGGGAAAGGGCAGCAAGCCGTCGTCGTCCGAGGCTACCACCTCGGCGACCGGTACCACCAGTACGGAATCGACAGCTACAGGGGCGACCGCCACGGAGACTTCGGAGTATACAGACACTTCCGCGGCAACTGATCCATCCACCGTGACTTCCGCCACCGCAGACGCTGCAGACGCCACAGAGAGCGGAAGCCAGACACGAAGCTTCGGACAGAACATCGATTTCGTGTAACACATCGCAGAGGATCCAGACGAGAATCTAGAAGACTTCGTGAAGCGTTACTTCGAGAACTCACTCACTCGCACTCTGCATAAAACCCAAGAGACGGAAGACTGATCCAGAAGAACAAGCACTTCGTATCTTGGAAAGGACCACAACAAAGATAGAAGAAGGAAAATTCCAGACCGGTCTTCTCTGGCGCAAAGACGATGTCAAGTTACCAGACAACTACGTATACTCGCTGAAGAGGCTCTTCAATATAGAAAAGAAGATCGATCGTGATCCCACATTAAAGAAGAAGTACGTGGAACAAATGGACGCTCTCATCGCAAAGGGGTACGCCGAACCCGCCCCAAAACAGAAAACAGCTGACAAGACTTGGTACCTACCTCACTTTGCAGTAGTCAACCCAATGAAACCGGAGAAATTGCGGGTGGTACACGATGCCGCAGCCAAGACCAAAGGGGTGGCACTTAATGACATGCTACTCAAAGGGCCTGACCTACAACAATCGCTACCAGGTGTCGTCATGCGCTTCCGGCAACACATGATCGCGGTTACGGCGGACATACATCAAGGAGATGTTCATGCAAGTCAAGTTACGAGTACAAGACAGGGATGCACTGCGTTACCTGTGGCGTGGGGATCGACGAGACAACCAACCTCCGGAAGAATACAGAATGACATCTTTAATCTTCGGAGCATCGAGTTCGCCTTCGACAGCAATATACGTCAAGAACCTGAACGCCAAACAGCACGGGGAAACTCACCCAGAAGCCGCAGCTGCCATCATAAAGAAGCATTACGTCGATGACTACTTGGACAGCTTCAGAACCCTCGAAGATGCCAAACGCATCAGGAAGAGTGTACGAGCCGTGCACATGAAGGCCAGCTTCGAGTTGAAACAGTGGAAATTGAACTCAGCGTCACTCCTAGAGACACTTGGAGAATACAACCAGACAGAAGACATGGAACTCTACAAAACAGAAGAAAAGACGGAACGAGTTCTGGGTGTTGTCTGGAAGATCAACTCAGACGAACTCACCTTCAACCTCAACTTAGCCAGAATACCCTCAACACTCCTAGAAGGTAAGCAGCCGACGAAAAGGGAAGCACTGAGAATA